TAAGGTAGGTTAGCGTAGACATAGGTAGATTAGGTTACGTTGGGTTAAGGTAGGATAGGCTAAGGTGGGTTAGGTTAGGTTCTATGGGTAAGGTCAGGTTAAGTTAGGGTAGGTTACATACTGAGGCTACGGTAGGTTAAGGTAAGTGGGTTTTAAATCACCGTAAAGTTAAGCTCTTTCACACTCGGCTAGCTTAACACTATTTATCGGCTAGTTTAACATTATCCATTGGCTAGCTTAATATTATCGGCTAGTTTAACATTATCTATAAGCCAGGTAGCCACAGTAGCAAGGATGTGACCCCGTACTCCTGCACCACAGTCAATAGCTTATATGGACAAAATAAACACAACATCTACCTGTCATTACCATTTACTTCTAACACCTGCACATTTTTTTTTTTACAATTGATATATATTATCTTACAAAACCCACCATATTGACCAAAGATCTATAAAATAATGTTGTTTTAGTGTACAGATAATTATTTATTATGTAAGCATTGGTGATCTATGTAGCAATTAGCATATATCTGTTATGAAAGTTAAGTTTGCTTTGTTATTACCTGCCAACTTAAACGATACACGTGAATAAGATGGAAAACACAAACAATAAATGTGAATGAAATGAATATGGTGAGGGAAGAGAGACGGCAGGTATTTGGGACACTTACCTGTACTTGAAGACCGAATTCCTCTCAGGAGTAAAAATTTCCCTTAAGTTCACGACGTTAGGTTTACACGGACTAGAGAGACCACCTGTTACCACTATCTGTGTTCACTACTATTGTCAGACAACGCACTCGTTCTTATGGTATTCACAGCGGCTCTAGTGTTTTAAAACAAGCCGTATGGAGGTTTGTGACGATGAAGAGCGCTGAGCAAGGTCCTCCCCCCACTAGAGTCCAGAGCACACTGACAGGTCGGGTTGAGAACTCGGGGTGCACCGTTACTGCCTGGCTGCCTGAGGGGGACCGCGACATTCATATTTCCCAAGTTTAATGACAATTCTGACCCCTATGACACTAATAATACAATACTACTCAAACCATCATATCAAGATACAACTCGCAAGCAACTCTAACTACGTCGAACTACCAATAAAGCGTCAGAAACAACCGAATATTGAGGTTGAGAAAGGTTAACGATGTACCACAGCCCATGGAGAACTAGGCCCGAGCGGTGTCTAAAGTCGACGAAAGTGTTCTATTTAGACATAAAACTATCCCTCCACCCCCACCTCGTTATAATGGCTGAATAAAGTCATAATCTAATGTTCTTTTCCATCAACCACACCAGGAACTGACGAAGGAGTTGAGGTAATTATAATATGCAAGAAAGGTGTTGGTAAGAACCTTGAGGACCTGGTTTATACAGGGTGTTGGCTATGTTTTTTTTTCCTGAAGTTCCAGTCTTGATATCTACCTGCACCTCTACAGTATGTCTTAATGTCTATCTACATCACTATGTCTACCTGCATCACTATGTCTACCTGCACCGTTATCTCTACCTGCACCACTGTTACCTGCACCATTATCTCTACCTGCACCGCTATGTCGATCTGCACCACTGTCTACCTGCACCACTATGTCTACCTGCACCATTATGTCTACCGACACACTATGTCTACCTACACACTATGTCTACCTGCACCATTATGTCTACCTGCACCATTATGTCTACCTACACCACTATGTCTACCTACACCACTATGTCTACCTACACCACTATGTCTACCTACACCACTATGTCTACCTACACCACTATGTCTACCTACACACTATGTCGACCTACACCACTATGTCTACCTACACACTATGTCGACCTACACCACTATGTCTACCTACACCACTATGAAAACAGAAAACGAATTTTATATTGACAAACTTAATTGCCGTGTTTAAACTAATGTATCAAAATATCTTAGTTTGTCATCACATGTACGTTTTTTCCTTAATTCGTTTTCTTTGTCTAATGGCGCTTGGCCTAACTAACCTAATTACAGTCTACTGTTTGTTCAGCTCAGTTCTATCCAGTACTTTGTCATTTACCTTATTATCTTCGCCACTGATCGACTCGTTAGCCTCTTGGGTGGTCGGTCACGTCTCTGGGCATGTATACTGACTCGTGAATGCATCTGCACCTGCGTCAGTGTAGGTCAGGTCTGGTCTTTGAAGAGCTCACACTCGGTGCCGTCACAACACTCTCTGGCAGATTGTTCCAACGGTTTAAGCTGGGCAGTTGCAGGTGTTCTAATCTCCATGGGTACCTGAGGTCCTCCATTACAGACACCAATCTGGTGGACTTATTTGAGTGCGTGCTTAAAGACCTATACAGAAGTATATACCCTATACTATATGTTACAGTCAATGTGTTAAATCAGGTAAACTGTAAAATACCCATTAGGTCTGGTTAGAGTAAGTTAGGGTACATCAGGTCAGGTCAGGTTAGGGTGTATCAGGTTATGTTATTCAATTGAAAACTGCAAAAAATCCTCTAAACTTAACAATTAACCAAACCTGATAAACCAACCTAATCTACGCACACCAAGAAACAACATTTTCACGGGTACAGTATTTTACAGATTGCCTGATTTAACACATTAACTGCAACTTATATATACACAAAGATACAAACAACATGGTCTTCTGGTTTCCTTTCTTTACCATTTCTTGTCCCAAAACGTATATACAGTGTGACATAATCATTATTTTAACATGCGTTTGTACTTCACATCCGGTACAGTACAGCATACTTATGTACCAAAGATCTCTTGGCCAGGAAATGAATGATAAAGAGATATAGTATTCTACAGTCATCATACAAGTTTACATTGATTCAGTATGGATATAGTCACTGCAGTTATACAATATATACAGTATAGTCATCATATAACCCGAGATAACCAGTATTTAATTTTTGTTGACTAAAATAAGCACGAGAGGTCATATATGATAGTTGTTGAAATGTAATGCATTATACCACCATTATGCTCATTTCTTTGCACTTGTCTACTGTACATTACTCTGAACTACATAAAAGGACAAAGAAACATATAGAATCTTCGCAGTCTATGTTAATTTTTCTACTGTTAAAGATAGTGTTTAGTTCAGGTACAGAACCCCATAAGCAATCCAGTTAAATATGTTCTTATATCCTCACCTACGAGGGTTAAGTTATCACGTGGAACTATTAAGGAATCAGGATATTATGCATTAATAACATGTACTGTAACCCGGTCAATTTTATCATAGTGCCATTCTGAGGGTTGGCGACCACAGCCCTCTACCATGAGGGTTGGCGACCACAGCCCTCTACCCATGAGGGTTGGCGACCACAGCCCTCTACCCATGAGGGTTGGCAACCACAGCCCTCTACCCATGAGGGTTGGCGACCACAGCCCTCTACCCATGAGGGTTGGCGACCACAGCCCTCTACCATGAGGGTTGTGACCACAGCCCTCTACCATGAGGTTGGCGTTCTACCATGAGGGTTGGCCACCACAGCTACCATGAGGGTTAACCACCACAGCCCTACCATGACCACAGCCCTCACCATGAGGGTTGGCGACCACAGCCCTCTACCATGAGGGTTGGCGACCACAGCCCTCTACCCATGAGGGTTGGCGACCACAGCCCTCTACCCATGAGGGTTGGCAACCACAGCCCTCTACCCATGAGGGTTGGCGACCACAGCCCTCTACCCATGAGGGTTGGCGACCACAGCCCTCTACCCAAACATGTTAAAAAGGTGAGGCTTATTTTTCTTAATGTTTTCTCTCTGGAAGCTACAGCTGTTAATTATATTCAACCACACCTAGGACTCCTATCCTCAAAATTACCCAATAATATTTCTATCATTATTCCTCATACCCGATTATATAACAGCAATTATCTAGTCACAACAGCCTTCCTGCCCCCAATTTTCTCAGTATCACTTCACCATCAGTAATATGGCCAGTCCTTAATTTCTTCTTTTCTACAGATTTGCAATATTTTTCTTGTTGCACTTGTTAAGTCTTAGAACTTCATTTATTTTCCTATCATTACTCTATAATTTCTTTGTCATTCTCCCATAGCACCACATCTGTGAGGCCTCAAACCACCTCTACTGAAACCCTCCCAGTAACTGACCCATACAACAATACTGTACTCATTATATATTAGCAATTTTAAAACTAAAATCTACATACATTTTGAATAGGTTTAATATTTTATTGCTAAATTTAAAGTATTTTTTTTTCATTTCCTCGTTACTTTCCCAAGAACTATACTTCATCACCTTTTATATGTCCCTTGTTATTCACCACAGGCCTTTCTTTATCTCACAATGCCATCTTCATAACTGACTCTCATCTCTCATTGATAAGATCCTGAGGCTACCAAAATTCAGCCTCTGTTTTTCAATTGGCCTACCGGTATACAATCACCTTTACACCCCCCCGCTTACCGGTAATTAACTGATGATCAAGTCCTCTAATGCTAGAAAGGGTTAGGTTAGGATTAGGTTGATCAGTCTTCATGTGGGTGAATTAAGCTAGGGGAGGGGAGGCAAATCTTCAATTGATCTGATTCATATTACTTACCAGAGGTTCCCATAATAAGTAAGAAAAAGACTGAAATGATCTTTGGTTTTATTTACGGGGATTAGCCCACCCGGGCACAGGTCACTGACCCACACTGGGGCCTGGGGGGCAAAAATGTAATAATAATAATAATAATAATAATAATAATAATAATAATAATAATAATAATAATAATAATAATAATAATAATAATTCATAGTAAATAAAATTATAATATAAAATACAAAATTTTAAATAAAATAAAATAAAAATAATAATAACAAAGAACCATAAAAAAATACAAAAATGAAAAAAAAAATCTAAAGTGAGAAACATTATACTGTATGTACATTGTGTGTAAATGAAGCAGAAAGTCAGATCAGCAACCTGGGACTTGGTCACAATTTTTGTGTTGCTACATGGCAGCAGGGTCTACCATTAGACAATACATTATGCTTCCAATATCTTCCCAGGCGGTAGTACCTCCCTGTTTGATAGCTGCCTACTACCTTACTTGTCAGCAGGTAAGTTACAGTATTGCTTTTCCTTCACAATATTTTTATTTTTTCATACAGTAAATGTTAACCTGAACATTGTTGCAGTTCAGTACATTATAATAAGTGTATACAGTAATAAGAATGCTCTCTGTAGGAATAGTTCATTAAAAAAGTGTTTCCTCCCCTACAAAAACTACCGAATAATATAATAATGTTTTCCTACAAACCCAAAATTAGAATCCACACCCAAGTATTATGTGAGGCAGTGTCAATATATATACAGTAGTACTTGTATAAATGTGGGCTAACCAAACAAACTAGAACTAAACGCAGCCCCTCACTTTCTTCTCTAATGTCGGAGGATGTGCCCGGGTACTGTGCGGCATTAACCCCTCTATCTCGCTGGTATCATAGGAGCTCTGTAAATTACCTCCGATAATCATTGGTTCATTTGGTCATTATAATAACAATGTACAAATATTTTAATAAATAAATAATAAAGCCATTGTGTTTATGTGGACACAAAGTATTGTACTATAAATACTCTTAAACAGTTGATAAGGTGGCGGTTGGTGGGATACATGCCTGCTATATATAAACTCAAACGGTGCTTTGGTGCTTGTGACTAGAGGCAAACACAGCAGCTTGTCCATCAAGTGTAAGAGCAATTACTTACAGACTCACCAGCTGGCACAGTAAGGTGACAAACAGATGAGGTTCCCTGATATTCCACAAGTTATGTTACCTGGTGGAATATCAGACATCCACACCTGGAACAAGAGTCATGGTATACAGTACAGTATCTACACACCTGTACGGCAGGCAAGGGCGACCTTTTCTTAGTCGTGGGCCAACCCACCAAAATTTATATCATTACCTACCCCCAAAACAAGGGCAGATCCAGGAATCTCAAAAGGGGGGTCCAAAACAGTTGTGGGTGGGGGAACAGGGCGAGCATAGCGAGCCCACCCAGTTGAGGTGTGTGTGTGTGGGGGAGGGGGAGCATTGTCAGCCCCACTCCCCATTTTTTTTTTTTTAAATATGATCAATATCATGGCCATTCTGAGGCCATTTTGAAGCCGAGTGGGCTTGCTTTGCTCGCCATGTTCACCCACCCAAAACTTCTTGAGCCCCCTTTTGATATTCCTGGATCTGTCCCTGAATGTAATACTTGCTACATTTATCAACAAACTTTCACATTTACTCCTGCTAGGGTAAGGAAATGACACTGTTAATGACATCATAAATAAACAGACCCAATGTTGCTTAACTTGGCTGATGGAGCAAGAAACAGTGTTACCAACATGTACTACAGTACTGTCTATAGGTACACTCTCCCAAAAAGTATCGGCCCCTTTTCTCACCGATACAATGTCACAAAGGACAAATATTTCCGCTCACTAACTGTGATTCCTGCATTATGTTGGTAGGCCAGCCGTCCTAGTATCTGTGAGGTTGCCAGTTATTGTTTTTGGCATTTGTTGTAATTATGGTGAATCACCGTGCTCCATCTTTGGTAGAGTAATATAATGATATTAATGTAACAAAAATAACGGCAGTCAAATTGAGGGCGTTTTCTGCTGACAATCCACGGCCGACACTAGTACCCGAGACTCACTGGAAAGCACAGATTGCACCGACAGACATGGAGAAATGTCACTTTCCCAATAAGAGTAAACAATGGTTATAAATCAATGATTATTAGCTATCTCCTTGTTCCTCAGGCTCATGTCGTGAAGGGTGACGGTACTGCCTCGTGTTGCCTCCATAGTGACTGTCAATCCCGTGGGAGGGCTCGACGACACGGTCTCGTAGTGTGTAACAGATAATGTTCCGTTGCCAGCACCAATCATGAGATGATATGTTGCAGTAATAATTGCTACCTAATCAATTGAGGTAGAAATTATATTGAAATGCAGTAAATAACAACGTCATTGTAACTGGATATGGCATTTTAATCTGTACACCTGTAATTACTATATTTACAAATTAATGTAATATCTGATCATAGTGTTTCATATTATGTCCAAAGTGATTCCATTGTAACCTCGGTTCATGAAAACACAGTAACATTATATTTCTACTTGGCAACCCATCCCCTGGGGCTGAAATAGTATCTAAGGTGCATAACTCAACAAGGTTACTCATGATGTTATTGGTTTTGTATATGGTATCATAATTAATCCTAATTCATTACATTATGTAGACAATAGATGATATACTGTAGATATCACGGTGATTATCGGGTGCAAGAAGAAAGAACGACAGGTGCAACTCACAATCAGAAATACCAACCGACCCGAGACTGTTGTGCACGTGTTACCGTGTTCATTTCCAAATACTGTACGTGAGGCCCAGGGGAGCCGATACTTTTTGGGGGAGTGTGTACATACCTGTACTGTACTCGTATTATACATTACAGTATGTACAGTACTGTATAATTATATTACCTATATCAACACTTAAATCCCACTGTAGAAGATAAACAGAGAAATGTGACAAAAACAATTACAGGGAGATCGTATGATGTCAAACACAAAACACTAATAAAGCGCAGTACAGTATATGAAAACCCCGAGAGTTACCCAGGTTATAGTGAAGTCATCCTATACTTCAGCTGCAGGTGCTCCAGTTCCCCCTTGAAGGAGGATATGACACTGGGTGATAGTGGCTTCTGGTTCTTGACATATGTTCCTAACGTAAAGTGTCGGAGGGCAGTGTCCAAATTTTCATGTCTGTCCTCATAGGCCAAGCGATGGAAGGCGTGAAGGAAGACCCCAGCTTGGCAGCGTTCCACCGACGTGTGCTGGTTAAACCTTTTGCACGGGACCAGGTAGAAGGGACAAGCTGGAATCTGGCACGCATTACCCAGCAAGCCAACATCAGAACGGTACCTCTTGTACACCTGCTCAAAGGTGGCCTCTGTCACATCTATTCCTTTCTGTCTTGCTTGGCTTACTATCTCTTGTGGAGTCATTGGCAGCACCACCACATTGTGGGCAGATGTATATGCATCCAGCCACGCAGTTTCAAAAATATGTGTGAGTTTCTTACAGATAGATAAATCCTTACTCAGGAATCTAAATCTTTCATTTTGGATGCGTTTAGTGACCATAGTCAGGCTGTTATCATAGTCCGCAATAGAGGCAGCCAGTCTATTTCGTGAAGCCCTGTAGCGTAGAGCATGAGCAACATAAATAAACACGCTTCGTTCGCTGAACAAGTCATCAATGACGTCCTCCGTAAGCCCCACCTCCCTGGCAAAGGTTTTCAGAGTGTTCCACGACACATCTCCAGCGCTCGACACATTACGTAGAGTCACGACCTTCTCCATTTTCATCTTGATGGTTATGTCTGCTGTCAACTTCTCCTTCATCTCATTCATCTGTTTGCTCACTATCTGTTTCACTTTTTTCTTGATATCTTCATAGGTATAGAATTCCCTCAGGAGATCAGTGGAAGATGAAACTGCATTCTTTCTGGCATTATCTATAAACTGAAGAACATAATCTTTATCATCTCTGTCATCAAGTTTTTCTGTGAACAACTGTGTGAAGGGCATAGCTTCCTTATCGTTAGCCTTGTAATTTGTGAGGCAGCGACCAAAAAATTCCAGCAGAATCATCTTCACCACATTAGCTGCCACACCCACATCCTGGGTGGCTCCTTGAAGCTGGTTCATATGGAGGACAAACATGGGCTTAATGAGGGACTCGCACTTGAGGGTCTTGTCGTCAACCTTCACGGTGCTCTCGGTCATCAGCGCCTGAGCAGTGTTGTCTCTCAGTACCTGCCAGTACTTGGTGTATCTTGGCCGATTGATGTACAAGGCAGCAGTGGCTTCAATGCTCTCCACACGCAGGCGCACAAACTCGGGTCTTGGTTGGGCTGGATATTCAAACAGTATCCTTGTCCACACAACAGCTAAGGAAGCCAAGTGAACATTAAAATCAATGATGTGGGGATTTTTGAGGATGGCAAAGGTGACACACATGGCAAACAGCCGGGTGTGGACAAGTGGTTCCATGATTTTTGCAGCATTAGGAGGGAAGACTGGAACAATGGCATTAAAGCGAGTTTTTTCTTCATCCCACTTGGCCTTGACATCCTTGTGGCATTCACCGGGAGGACTAGTTTCAGCAAAGGATTCCAGTGCCACCTGACTAAGGATGGTGTAGGGTGAGGTGAGCATAGACTGGACAGTGTATGACCAGGGGTTGATAGCTACGGTGTCCCTCTTGGGGGCAAACACTGGGATCCCTGTAATGGTAAACTGTTTCAAGAACTCAAATTTGCCCAACTGGATCAAGTCGGGGAAGTCCAAATCCTGGAGGTCCGCCACAGTGGAGGTGAGGGTGATACGGCAACAGTCCTCTGGTAAGGTTTCAATCTTCTGAATACTTTCCTTGTGAGCGCTGAACACCTTCAAGAATTCCTCAGAATCTTTGACAAACTCCTCGTTTGTGTGGCCCTTAAGATGGAACACTCTGGCCTCGTACTTGCCTGCACGGAGAGTGGTATAAAGTACTTTGTCAGCCAACTCTTGTTCATCCTTGAAAGTTTTAGTTTCCAAGATGGCCTTCATATTTTTTATGGATGTTCTGAAATTGGTCATGTGGGTCTTGAATAGTTTGCGGTCGAGGCGGTTGTGAATGCCGTTGTCGTTATCCTTCAAGCGCTTCCTTGATAAGGCGGTAAAGATACGTTCCTTTAAGGCGAGGATGTCCGGTGGAACAGTCTCCCCCATCCTGTGGCGCTGGATAATCAATGAATTCCACTGGCAGAAAACATCTTCCAGGTCAGATAACAACATGGGCTGCCGCTCAAGGGTGGTGCTAAAAGTGCGTGAGCCGTGCCAGAAGGTGAGGTGTTCCGCTTGTTGTGGTTCACAGGAGCAGTACACCCACTCTCCCAGGTAGAAAGTGTCATTCATATCTGTCCCAGGTAGAGTTGCTCCCTTCACAGACACTTTTACAACCTGGTCACTAATTTGGGAACTTGTTTTGCTGATGGTTACCATTTGTTCCTTAAGGTCATTTAGGGTTTTGGCTGCAAACAGATATGGAAGGTTGGAATTGCCATTATGTAACCTAGAACGAATGTCAACGCTGTGCTGCACGGGAAAATCTTCCCCTATACCCAGGATATAAACATCACACACCTTGCCTCTTGCACACTGTATTTTCTCAATAATAGTCTCTGGTGTTGCCTTAGAGACTGTGTGGTGACCGTCCGTGACGAGGAACACCTTCACGTACCTCTCCTTACACTGATACACATCACTGACCACAGTTTGTAGGGCACCAATAAAGTCTGTACCACCACCCAAAAAATCTTGAGGGTGCAAGTTCACGCCCGACCTACGGAAAATAACCTGCGTGCTGAACACATAGATGTTGGTGTGACCCATCAGTGTGGGTGCCACATACTGGTTCCAATACTGAACCACACTTTTCCAAAATGGCTCCATGGAGCCTGACACATCAACCATGAGGATGTTGAGGGTGGTAGAGGAGGGAGCAGGACCCAGGGATCCCTTAGGCAGTTTGGTGGGCATGTGTAACAGGGTGTGTATCTTCTCCTGGCCATCACCAACCTGAACAAACATGTGCAAATAAGAATATGTTAAAACATATGTAATGTATTATACTTTATAGCATGTGTATTAATGTAATGTATAATACACTATACCTGTATGTGCATTCATGATGCCCGAGTATATTAACAGCAGTGGACGTCGTGGCCATCATGGACGCCTCACGACGACCAGAAGATTAAACAAAGGCAATTAGACCCCTTAAAGGGTTGACTCAGGCATCGTGAATGTGTGGATAATGTATAATGAATAACACATTATACAAAAACAGCATGACTAATCCACATATCACACTATACGGTAAATAAAAACAGTAATGATAAATATATGTATAAATATATGAGTAAACTAACAGAACAAATCATATTAATAGAAATTGAAAGGAGAACCGAAATGTTAAAATTACTAAACAGCAAATTGCCAAGCCACAACAAGTAGCCTTGCCAGCTGGTCCCATCCTATTTGTTGGTGTTTGGAAGGTCATCCAGCCATAGGACTTTGTCTCAACATGCTTAATGGCAACCAGGTCACCAGAGCTGTGCATTTCCTGGGTTGGTTCCTGGGGTCTGCAGTGGTGAGTGGGGTGGGGACATCCTGTTTTGTTTTACCCAACAGCTGCCACCTGATAATCACGGCTAAGCGCGGAAATGGCCGTAAAATGTAGATGCCGATAAACATTCCAAGAGTATAGCATAACTTGAGCACTGTACAGTATATATCACTAAGTGGTCCATAAAACCAAACAAACATAATCCAGAGACTGTTCTTAAGATACAGTACAGACAGAGCCCACAGCCCAAGTTCCAATTTACAGGATTAAGCCGAATTAATGGAAAGTGACACGATCTGAATCTAATTTTACACCAAAATCAGCAAAAGGACTAATTGAGGCACTATTGAATGCCAATTTTGGAACCTGGGAAGCCATGTTAATATTCCTGCACACTATTCAGTAGCAACAGTAAACCTTGTTATTAGTGGGGGGGATTAGGTTCCAAGGAATGGCACAAATAGGCAAAACTGCAAACAGTAACTTATACTAACTTAATGCACTACTGTACCAAACAACCAACCAACCAGCCATGGCAGCACTCATCCCCTCTTTTAATTCATCTAATAATTCAACTTTCTTTGTCAGGGTCTTCACTGACTTCTGCTGTTTACATTTCACTCCACTAGCATCACTAGCACTGACACTAGGCAGTCTTTTAGGGGCCATTTCACACAAACACAAAAGTTTTGAGAGTACAACACGAGATGCTGCGTGGGGAGATTCACTTTGCTGCAGGAAAAGCTCACAAGCTAGCCACCATCTGTTCACTGTGAATCGTCGAAATCGGGACTCGCAAACCCACGAATGACAAGGGTCTACCATATTGAAAAAAACACACTACACCTGCACTGTGTACTGAACGTTTTGAACTTAATTTTGATCAGTAAAATCAGGAAAAAAGCCTGCAGGTGATATTGCTGGTAATTGGCTAGACATGTGGAGGTAGGCAAGTGTCAGCTTGGTATATGAACTATTCTCAAGAGTATATACAGGACAAGGGCTTCTGCCTCATCCATTTCATTAGCAACAACAATCATAAGAAATTGTTGAAGTAGCATTTTGTTGGAGAAGATGGAGAGCCAGTAGGCCTCCAGGTAGCAGGAGGATCATGTTAAGAGTAGTGGCAGACACCGGTACAGTATGGTACAGTACAGCACAGCACAGTACAGTACAGTACTGTTGAGGTTATATCAAGAGAATAAAGTTGGCAAGATAACATGCGTGTGTAAATTTAATTATTTTAACCTCTTACCAGTATTAGCTGATTCAGGTGGTTGGTGTCTTCTTTGTTACAACCTTCACTGTCCAGTACAAACAACTGTGTCAGTACACTACTGTATAGGATGACACAGGAGTTCTCAGAGTAAACCAGTTCTGTTTGGTAGGGTGACACTTTTCACATCTAACCTGGGATAGTGATTGAACTCATGACAGGTTACTGCTGTAATATATAGTTTCTGTAGTATACAGTTCGGTGTGCCAGGGAATAAGTACTGTATATCTCTGTAACACATCTGAATTTTTGGATTTGTTTAAGTTGAAGGGTTCAAAACTGGCCTACCACTAATTTTTAGAATCCAAACATAAGTCTTTTTTACACATACACACAAAGGTTCTTTTGTGCCAACTTTAAAACTCCTGATACAATCTCTGAAACAGAAATGCAAGATATTTAATTTACAAGAGAAGAGACTGACAAGTACTGACCTTACATACTTGTGGTAAAGATGAAATTAAATCAGTGTCGGGGAAACACTCAATGCTACTGAACCACTGTACTGTATTATTTAATGGATAAAGTTATTGACTAGTTGGATGAGATTATCATAGATCAAGACAGAACAAAAAGAGTGGGGGGGGGTCAGCTACCTCCTCCGGCAGGTCGTAGAGTCGAGCATCGGTGACTTTTTCCCCAAGATCCACCTCCACATCCTCCTCCAGCGCTGGGTCGGGGGTCACCATGGCTGCGGGGATCCACGTCTCCACACCGATGCACATCTGTTTGGAATGTTCCCGCCGTAAAGGAACTTTGATCCCGGAGTCTTTCTTGTGTCTTTTCATCCTCTGTATTAAGGTGTGGGGTTGTTTGTGTGGCAGGCCATCGTGTCTGCCGATACCCACCCCGACTTGCACACCACAAGCCATGATGGTTGGTCACTGTTGCCTAAAGGAAAAATTTTCATAAATAATAATACACGCTACTAGACTGCACTGAACCAAATTGCCCATACGATCAACTCGCTTTCTTTCATACGTCAAAATCGCCAACTTCCTGCCGGCCCGTAATCAACACATCTACCTGACACCAACCACCTTGACTAATGTCAGTCACTTGTAATAGAACAGATAATACATACTAGTTCTTTAGGTTAAATCTGTGGCTGATAAACAATAAAAAAAAAAAATTATACTTATGTTTTTCAATTCCACTGTAATTTATGTATATATAAATAAATATAAAAAAATAAATAAATAAATAAATAAATAAATATTGAAGTGATAAACATGGTAACATTATGAGATGTTATTATTACCACCATGCTATTGTACTATTCCAGATGTTACTAAATGTTACATAATACTTCCTTGAGATAAATGTATAGTATATATCAGGTGCCTACAAGAGAGCTCAGGTTCTCAACTGGCTCAGCCATGTTAATACTGTTATTATTATCCACTCTGTATCTGTGTTTCTCTGGCTAAATAAACTGTTTCAATTCAATTCAAAAACTTTCTGCAAGGAATAAAATGTAACAGGGAAAATGCAGCCAACTGTACTATACTGTATTGGGGTCAACATGGGATGTAATTTGACAAGTTGGTGAAGAGGATAATGTTAGGTTAGGTTTGGCTGGGATGGGTTAAGTTAAGTTCGGTTGGGTTAGGTTAAAGTAAGATAAGATGGGTTGGGTTAGGTTACGTTGGGTAAGGTTGGGTTGGGTTGGGTTGGGTTGGGTTGGGTTAGGTTAGGTTAGGTCGACAACTGTATATACAGTATTTACAATCAGACAATCTGGGAACCCCCCATACCAGAATCATGGGTACGCCCCTGCTCATATATTAACCAACTGCTGTACCACTCATCTGGTCTTGTGCAATAAACTACACTGCACATCAAATACGTTTTAAACGTTTGCATACGATGTGTTGAATTCAGGTTCACCTTAGTTCACAAGCTAAATTGCCTTGGGTGAGCTAACTGAATCACAAAAATACAATGGGGTTAATTACACACTCTTAATTAAACAATGTACTAAGCATATACCTAACTTATTTATCAAAGTGTGTTATAATATTCAAACTACGCGGCACCTGTAATCTACCACCAATAGGGGACACCTTATACGTTTACAGCCCAGTACACCAGACCACACTAAACTTAACCTAGATACTATGAATCCTTAAATTATGACATTATTAGTTTATTATATATATAAATACAATTGCTAAAGATATATTTTAAATAGTTAAAAGACTAAGAAGAGGAATAAATGGTTGGTGTTTATGTTCAAACTACGCGTTGGTAGTGACTCTAGGGCTGCCAACCTCCACCACTATTTCAACCAACGAATTTCCACTCAGGGTCTGTTCTCAACTATAACACACGCACTACCTACCTCGTCTTAATCAATAGATCGTGTATTTAATTAACTTGTATGATACACTGTAAGGTGGATGGGCTTCTCTGGAGTGAACTGTGGTGATGTAACAGAGCCTCCACCAGCCACACGTCCTGCTGCTCCAATACTCGCCTAGACTGACTCTTGAGGGACAGGGTGCCAGTGTGCTATATACAGATAGAGTTTTCCGGTACCTTACTATAAAAAAGAATGCCTTCACTTCATTATTCATAATTACAAAACTGCAATTCTGAACCAATTTAGTGGTGTTTTCTTTATATTCCATCCAATGAGTCAATAATACATGCGTTGAAACGCATTCCGTAACCTTTAGTCTATGTTGACCTCTATTCTTCCTGTGTTTTTTCATAATAATTGTATAAAGGCTTTTGCGTTGCACAGGATGTAAGGATGTGCCCAATAAACTAGCCCCCGAGCGGGGGCTTGTGGGGTATGATATGTTTGGTTCACACTCAGGATGGGATGGAGAAAGGAAACTCACCATGTACTCTCTATATACATGTTGTATTGGATGTACAATGCAGCTTGGTGCTGGGAAGGCAGCATGGTTACAAGCGTTGAGTAGAGGAACCCCCCACAACTATACCTTGAGAACACCAGTCATGTTTGGTACAGTCACAACACGCTCTCATATATCCCGGACCAAGGATCGAACCCAGGACATGAGGGGTGAAAGACACGCGTTCCTGTAGTGTTATTCAGTACATTAACTACAGTACTACCATGAGATTGTTTATTAATCTATTCAATACCTTTTCTATAAATAGGTCAAAGTTAGGTAGCATATTTAAATCTGTAGAATACTTGTAAAATTCATAAGCCAAGTGTTGTTGATGTCTTGTACACTTAAGAGGTATGGAAGTCATAAGTGGTGGTAATGTTTAGGTAAGAAATATATGTGGCTGCCTCTGTGGTCCCAAGGAGGAAGGAAAGTGGACAAGATACAGGTAGATCAAGTGACAATGACAGGCAAGACCCTCAGACCATGACCTCCACCTCTACCACTTATATCACTCCACTGTACACTCACCTTATACAGGTACTAATACACCACATTGTACACAGGGGATAATATTCAACAGATATAAAAAAACATTGATATTTTAATTGAAGGCCAATGGTGAGGTGAATCAGCTTTACAAAAAACATAATTCTGTCAGCATTAAATTTGGTATCTTTGTAAAATTTATCACTTATCACCTTCAAGTAATGAACGCAATTAAATACATTCTGACAATCTCATAAAAATTCCAGGTAATGTATTTATCAAGGAGACTTTGCAGATTAAGGTTCTATACACAGATTTCACCTCAAGCATACAGAGTTAATAAATAATAATCTCCTGGAAATAACAAAAGCTGCATTACAGTTGGCATGACCGTCCCACAACCTCACAGCCACATTTTGCTGAAGCTTTTAGGGCCAACGAGTGTCATATGTTCACGTCCACAAGAAACCAGTAAGATTCTTCCCGTTATTAACAGCACAAATATTTTATCGCTCACAAGATAATGGCGATTACTCGTATCTTTACCGACTATAAATACAATATTGTAGAAAATGCCTCAAGACACAAACTGACAATGTTTCATAGAGGAACATATTTCTCCTCATCTCTCACAGGTCGTGGGAGGACTACAAGATGGTAGAGATGTTTATTTCTTCTCCGGAACTATCTCACTAATCCAGTCCAGGTACGGTGGGTTCCCCTGATCAATCTGCAGGTAAAGTACACAGCTACCATTTTTTTTTCCATTCACTCAACATTTAACAAGTCAATTTTTATATTACAAAGTTAGGTAACAATTGTATCTTGACTCATCCAGAAATAAACTAAAATGAAAAAATGGCAACTTGACATTTATATAAAAAGTGAACAATTAGTGGTAATATCAAGAGAGAAAACCCAGGTAACGACTGTGTGACTACGAGAGCACTTTAACTACCTACTACTGGATGACACACACACAGTTAAGGGATCGTTGACAAGTTAAAACCAACCTTAGAGGATATGACTTCACACACGTCGTACGGATGGTTCTCCCGCACGTACTTGGTCAGCTCCTCCAGGCGGGATGTTCTTGTCTTGATCATCTGAAGAGTAACCAGTGAGTAAGGATGTGAGTATACTCTGCTGTGTTCCTCTTTTAATGTTACTCTATGCTATTACTCAACAGTAGAGTCAATTATTAGGCACAGTATATAGTATATGTAATATGCTTTATTGAACTATACAGAGCAGGGTGATTCACAAACAAACACATCCTCCTCCCACACCCCCCCCCCTCAAGAAAATATAATGCAAACAACGAACAAAATCTTAAAACAAAAACAATTTAATAAACAATCCTGCCAATTAAATAGATAAATCAAATGAGCATCGAGTCAAGACAAACTGGACAGTGAGAGGTAAAGCACAACCCCTGAGACACTACTGTTATGTGAAGACGATTCATCCGGCTACAGTGATGCAGTATAACCACAAGCTGAAATAACTTACCATGATAACTTCTGCATCTTCACAAATTTCTTCTTTCCATTCATACCTGTCAAAGGAATGAGTATTATTTCAGTAGCTTTAATCTTAACCTTATCTAATTTAATCTAACCTAACTTAATCTAACCTTACTTAATTTACTCTAACCTAATCTAACATTAAGGGAAGCTCCTACACCCATCACACTAAAGTATACTCACACAGACACAACGTTGGGGATGATGTTAACACAGGCCGCCAGCTTGTTCTTCACCAGACCGCTGTTGGTTCATCACAAATATATTAACTTTAATTTACAGTCTCATTAAAATCTATAAACTCTTCATTATATAAAGTTATGATTTTATTCTTGTGAAGCTTCAACCACAGATATAGAATTTAAATCCCATAAATAAAGCAAACATCACACACTATACTGTCAGGGTGGCAACAGAGAGCAAGGCAGAGTCACCCACCTCCAGGTAAACACTACTGTATGTATGTCTAATCAACCAAAGGTAACCCAACAAGGCCACTGTATATTTATTTCCAGTGCAATCTAAGCTCAAACAGTTACACCTATTAGTGGCTATAATCACATTCTAGTTTGTTAGCAATCTTAATCAACTTGTTCCTGACCAATAAGTTCAATAGTTGGTACAGGTATTCTATAAATCTTTGTATACACTAATGAAAATAGGAAACACCTGAAAATTAAACCCCATCTAATGTTACCTGATTATTAAACACCTCAATGCTACCTGTGGGGGAGGGGAGGGGGGGGGGGGCATTTGCATAAAGGTGGTTAATCTAAAGGTGAGATAAGTATAGGGACTAATCTGCAGGTAATTAAATAAAATAAAATATTCCTACAACACCAACATACTCTACCTAGCAATCTTTTTGGCAACTTCCTGTGATGGGGCGGTGACGAAGGCCATAGAGTGAGTGCCTGCCACATAACTCGCTGAGGCTGCCATTCTGCTCAACAGTCGCCTCCCTGAAGACAACAGTAAGGGCATACACACTGTCACGAGGACAAGACCCTGAAAATACACGAAGGATGAACGTGGGTTACTGTGTTACGTCTTATGCCTGGGGAGACTATGTTAGTATTTGACCACAACATCGAAGACTCGTGTTGTTTCTGCCTTTAGGGGAATATTTTGGTGTTAGTATTCTGGAATTCACCGAGATGGCAAGCTTGAACATAAAGATAAATACTCACAAAGACAGGATAGTTTTATATATCAACACAGAAAAAATCTATAAAATAAAACCAAACAGAATTCAATTTCCTGTAGCTATTAATCTCATACAGTACAGCATAGTACATTATATCTTATAAACGAAAAACAAAATTAATTGAAGTTTGCATAATTTCAAAACTGTATCTTGCATAATACCGAAATGCCTTTATGGTTTTGGAACTTAAAACAGTTAGATATTTCATACATATCATACAACAGGAGGCACTGTATTAGAAGACGTGTCGTACCATACACACAAGAGTGATTTTTTTATTCATCATTGGGATGTAGGTGATGAAGCTGGTCGTTAGTTACCTTGGGGCTCCTCACCTGCATCAAACAGGAAGGGTCTTTATGTATTCATTGTCAGTTAATATTTCTATCTAAAAATATTCCAATAAGATTCTCATTTTAAGATCTTTTGGTCCGAAAATGATATTGACTGTGTCGTAATTTAGTGAGTTACTGTACATTATATAAAGGTCTGAATACATATACAGCTCCTCCTTGACTTACGACCTACTCGACTTACGACCACCCGCACTTACGATCTGCCTCAGTTGTACCAAAATTTTGTCAAATTACGTATTTTCGAGTCCCAAAGTCAGTACAGACATAATTTTCATTTGTAATTCACTTTAAAATGGCTGGCAAGCTTAAAAGTGAGTGTTTTTGGGGCTGAGAAGAAAAAGAGACCCCCCATTTTAGATTTTCTATTTATTATTTAAGCATTTCCGACTTACTACCATTTTGATTTACGACCTGGATGTCGGTCCCTAACCCCGTCGTAAGTAGGGGAGGAGCTGTACAATGCATATCAATCAAAATCCTAAATCACACACACACCTACCTATGATAGTAAAGTCCATTAAAACATATAAATCCATCACAAGTTTCTTTATAACATTTCCTAACAGTGTGCACAAACATCAAACATTACACAACATTGTATCATCAATGCTGAAGGTAACCAAACATTATCAGCTCCTCATCTCTCTTAGTTACTTACCAATATCGATTATCACATTTATCCATATCACTAATTTTTAATCTATTGTTTCACCACTTATCAGCTTAAGGTTATCCCCACAGCTTATTTCACCTGATAATTAAACACCCTAATATTATTTAAGGTGGTTAGGTTAGCTTTAGGGTGGTTACTCTGATGGTAATAATGTAAACTCTTATTATCTTTCTAGGGTTATGTCTGGTTGAATCAGCTTAATTTCGCTGTCTCTTACGTAGCTATTGTGTAATCGCTGTGGATATTTGTTCGGTTGTCGGTTAGGCTCATAGGAGTTGAAAGAATTGTTAGAAACTTTGTGGAAACGAGAATCCACTCAGTGTCATTAGGTGTATGTTTTAAAAGGTTTTCTGCTAAGTTAGGTAGGGTTAGTTAGGTTACTTTGAGTCAGGCTTGTTAGGTAAAGTTCTAATAGGTTCTCTGCCTTCTCGCTTCCATTTATCATTTATTAGATTGTATTTAACGTTTCCACAAAGTTTAGTCCAATTTTATCAACTTTCTGGTGTTAGTAAAAAACCCTACATAACTGACAACCGGACAAATATCCACAGCCTTGTTTCTTTATGTGAACCAACGTGTTTTATGCAGGTCGATAAAACCAGCATAATACAAGATAATATTGAATCTGCATGTATATAGACAATACAGGTATACAAACAATATACATACACAGTAAAGGAATACATAGAATTCGTGGACTAGAACAAGAATACCTAACTGATGTCTGTCTAGATAAATCTGTCTTAGATCACTGTTGCATCTCATAAAACAAATAATTCAATGTAACAAAAACCTAACAAAACAAAACTTAGTGTTGCATGAAAAAATATTTGCACTTGACAAGCTGAAAGCAAATACCTGGTGACAGAAGCTAATAACAGATGATGGAACGTGTGTTTGTTTATAAGTTTTAAAGCTTTATATAATAAGACAAGCTTTAGGGTAAATGGTCAATGTCTATCTGGCAATGTAACTTTTATCAGCTTATACTCACACCACCAGAGGTCACCGAGTCCTTGGCTATAGTCGAGGTAAACTGAAGTAATATTGTACAAATCTATTGGTTCACTATATTCGAATAGGTTAACATATTAATCATACCACCTAAGTTTAATTGCTAAAACATGAATATGATGGGTTTAACAGCCAATGTTAAACTAACAGTGCATTAATACTTAAATTTTCAATTATGATTAAAGCCTTGGAGGGGGAGAAAAGTCCGCGGGATCTGGCAACACTGTGTCACAATTCCCTTTATGTCAGTCATCAATAATTACCATAATGTTGACTAACTTCATAAGTGATTGAGATAAAATTAATATCTCATAATAGAGTTGAGTATTTACTTAACGTCTCTACAAAATCGTCGATAGGTGTAATACAGTGACTTATGATCTTGAACCTTAGGTAATGTTTGTCAGAATCATTGATTGTACTTACTGTGGGGAGTCTTATACCAGTAGGCCTGTTATCTGGTTCCATCCTAGTGTTATCCAGCTTTCCTGACAGTCTTTTGGAGTCTTAGACAAGTTCGATGCCGTGAGTAGACGTCTCCAGTGTTAGTATTGACAAAGATACTCTCATTATACTATGGAAGTCTGGTTATACTTGTTCATTAATCAAGAGAGGAATTTGACAGATTTGAAGGAGAGGTCAAAGAACTGTCAGACTAGATGATTGTTACACTGCTGCAGCTCGACGTACAGTAGGAGGAAGAAGCTCCGGTAATGTCTGAGAACATCACTGCCACCAGATGTTGTTCAGTTCGTTCATTTTTCCACACATGTTCTTATTATAGGACCTGGCATAACCAACCATTAACTTAACCAACCTCATTAACTTAACCAACAGTAACTAACTCACTATTTTGAATCACTTCCTCCCACCTCAGCTCATCTCACCATGGGGGGTTAGTTAAGATGTATCAGTGATTGTTCCATCTCGGTTATCTTATTCACAACTAGTAAATGAAAACCCATGTGTCCTGTGTTATAAGGTCTAATATTAATGAGACAAGAGGTAAAGTTGTATCATCTAGACTTATGGAGTTGTGATAATTGTGTGTCTTGTGTCCACAGTATTGAGAGTAATAATAAGAAAGGTACACAAGTGCTGGCCTTGTGAGGAGTTTTTGGAGAATGCTATGAAGTATAAGTGATAATGAAGGTAAGTGAAGATTCATTATTTTCGTGGGTCACTTTTGTATAATTTTACAGTGAGTTGTAATAGTTTCTACTGAACATTACTTCTGTTAAATTTAAAGACTAGTTTTTGCTAACCTGGAAGTAAGGCCAAGTGGTTCTTATAATTTGTATTAGTGTTAATGTGAAATTGGCTAAGTCTTGAGTGAACCCCAAGGAGTTGTTCATGTTTTTGTGTTCAGGTTCTCAACTTCATTTTAATTATCATATTGTCCTTTGTGCGGCCTACCTGAGTATTGAAAATATTAGTAAAGTAATGGGGGTTCCCAGGTAAACCCAAGATAAGAATATAACAAGAGAATATGTATAAGAAACTTAAGAAGTAAAGTAAATAAAAAATAATTAAGTAAGAGAAACTTTAACAGTAAACTAAAGTACACTTAGAAAATGAAAGAAAAATTAAATAAAAGATAAATACAAGCCCCCCCCCCCCCACACAGTACCATTTCTAGTGTACGATAATTGTCATGAATATTTCTCGCTCATCAGTTAAGGAATAAGAACATACAACTATATTAAATCACCAATAGTATATTTCCATAACAATAGTATAAAATAAGCTCTGTGAATAAACAATATCATTCATCTATAGTCCATTAGATATGACTGATAAACTTGGCATCACAAAGACCTGGTTATCTAGTGAATAAAAACTTAATTTATTGACGAGTGGAGTGGTGTGGCACTGGTGACAACTGAGGTGGCACTGTTTCTTGTAGAGTCTTAGACACGTGTTTGTATGTATCCTCAACAAGGCTTATTACACATGTTAAATGATGGCTGTAAATGTATATACAAGTCGAGTGTGTAAATCCTTATCTTGGGTGGTGGTAATTAAAGACACGATGCACTGTACTGGAAATAAATTCAACTACTCTATATATATATATATATATATATATATATATATATATATATATATATATATATATATATATATATATATATATATATATATAAAGTAAATCACTGTAGGTGCGCGTGATCTAGGTATATGCTGATATCCACAAGGAAAGAAAAACACGAAGTTCCCAAGCGCTTTCGTGTAATTCACATCTTCAGGGGTGAGTACAGACTGTACTCACCCTGAATATGTATATATATATATATATATATATATATATATATATATATATATATATATATATATATATATATATATATATATTTCACCTGTAGCTAATATTCCAACCAATCATCACTAAACTCAATGTGTTTCACACTGATTTTGTCTTATATAAAGTAATAATTAAAGTTATCTAAAACTTTCATTTATACAAAAAAGTAATTTGTACTCTTTTAAATTTGTTGAATGATGTTCTACTGTGTGTGGCAGATCTTTTTCTTCTCTTTAACGTTGGTTTATTTTCTCCAGTTTGAAGTTTTAGCTCCTCTGTGGCATAACATTTTCATACTGTATGTTATTAAGTTGAAATCAATCCTGAATGTATGTACTCATCAGCTGTGGAACTATTGTTTGTGCCACACTAATTCCTGCCACTCCATAACACAGCACCATGGGGTGAACCTAGCACTGTACTGTACAAGATATGAATGTGATTCTGAATGACAGTTGCAAGGTAGAGTAACACTCTCAGTACTGTACTGTCCTAAAACTAACATCAAGGTGTTACTGGCTACACACCCTAATCAAAAGTTGAAGGCCATATTACAAAACATACTTGATGTACCTCTATCAGCACCCAGCCTCTCCACACGTGTTATAAACACACCGAGTCAACACTCGGCCTCTCCACACATGTTATAAACACTCGGCCTCTCCACACATGTTATAAACACTCAGCCTCTCCACACATGTTATAAACACACTGAGTCAACACTCAGCCTCTCCACACATGTTATAAACACACTGAGTCAACACTCAGCCTCTCTGCACATTATAAACACATCGACTCAACACTCATACTTGTTCCACAACAGAGATATAAGAACAACCTTATTTGTCTGTACAACTGACAAATAACTTTAACACTTGATTTAAGCAATGTTGATGAGTGGAGTGAGTCAGCAGCTATGTGGGAGGCTCGATGGACAGTAGTAAACACTTATCATACATCACGCCCATGCCACTGTATTCTGTGTGTGGGCGACATGACAAATTTATAAAATTACATTGTAATTACGTCATCTAAGATTTCTTGTCAATCATTTGTGTAAAATCAATAAATCTATTATTAAAGTCAACTGAATATACAGTATTCATCAATAATTCTAAGAGATTACAGTATTTCATCAATATATTATGTACTGTACATGCATTAGTAAGTAATCATATACATTATCACAGAACTAATTGCATACACTATTATTTTCTAAATAAATGTTATAATTTATCTTGTAATTCTGTTTCAAATATCCTTAATTCTCCTACACAGATTCATCCGTGTGTTGGGTGTGAGCACTCTGGGCACTTGAGTCACTTGGGGAACACCTTACCAGAGGTACATCCTCCCCATCCTTGCTGCCTTCATTAAGACTGGTGGGAGTTTTGGTGTCCAGTTTTTCAGCCAGCACATGTCTGACTGGATCTGAGAAAGCTGAAGGAGATCCCATGGGTGATGGTTCAGCTGTTGAAGGCAGTGTATCATGACACCTCACATCTGGAAGGCTGGAAGTTGGTTCAACAGCTTCTTGTAGTGATCGGAGGATGTGTGGTGATGCCGACATGTGTCCTGGTTCAGGGGAGGAGAAGCAGCTCTGCAGAGTCCTGGGGCTTGTTACTGACATAGTTCTGCGCCTGGTGTTGTGACGCTCCATCAGTTCCACCACTCCTTCAGGTAGGTCCATGGTGTTTTCTGGAGCAACAAATTCAGGGTTTTTATCTGTAAACAGGTACAGTAATGTGTAAAAAGTCTACTGTATACATATTTGAATAGCAAGAGATAAACTTTAAGGATTATATAATTAATAATTAAATCCATAATTACTGTACTGTATTATTTTATTCAATAAAATTGTTAAATATGCAAAGTTATTATGTTGTCAAGTGAAGACATTACCGGAACCCTTATAATGTTGATCTTGTGACCCATGGTGATGGAAGACCACCAAGTAAAGCACAACACACAACCAGGAAAACAAATTAATAAAATACCTGTCAGGAGAATTACAGTTATAACACAATGCCAATGTTTATAAGCATCATGCAAATAAAGTGAGAAGTTACATGTACAGAATAAAACTAATAATGAATGAACTGATGGATGACATTCATTTAAAACATCAGAAAGCAATTAGCATAAATTAACAAGAACAGAGGCAGATAACTGGTCTGCAATAGTCATGCGTGTTAACATAAAACCACTTACCGGCACATTTTTTATATGAAACTAAACTTAAGCAAAAAATTCGTAGTTCATGCATATTAGGAGGAAGCAGCAAAGATTACCAGCATACAGTACTGTACTCAACAAGCACACTACAGTGGCCTCATACAGGTAGCTGAGACTAATGTAGAGTTTGTGTCTACAATCTCAATACTGTATGTCTGCCATAGACTGACAGCACAGTGTGGCACCTATCACTCAATTCCTTCTTCCTTAGATGGTGTCTGTTGGTTCCGAGTGATCTGTTTTAGGGATCTACGAGTACAGTAGACGTGACAGGAAGGTGTAACAAATTCATGAAGTAAAACCACCCACCACTGTTCCTGGGTTAGAATCTTCAGACTGCCCTTAGTGTGCACAACAAACTAGTTGCCTAAACTGTGTCAGGATATATAATTTATTTGTTGTTTATGTACTACAGGTTGATAGAATGAAGTAGGTATGGCAGTACTGTACTTAACTTATACTACAACTGTCTTCAAGGTTAGGCTGTCACACCAAAAGATCTCACACAATGTGTACTGCCTTGCACACTTACCTGTATTTCATGATCCTGATTAGTTAGCAAGACAAAAATTTTAATCAGTAATATTTTAGTAACACGACGTACTGTACTGTTGTCAGTATTTACACCAGCAGCCTCCTAACCTGGGAGCCAACAACAGTTGCTGATCATCCCTTCACCATCACTTACTGCCATATTTTACAGCATATACAAACTATTATTGTCTAAAAATGACTAAAAAATATCAGCCCATGTCCTATACAGTATGTGGTCTCCTGTACATTAAGGAATCCTCAGTTGCTGTCTCCAGTAGGTCAAACTGTACCTCACCCAACTCCAGAATTAACAATATGATATTGTTTTCTTACACATTATTATTACTTTGTTATTAAAAAAAAGTGTTATTGTAAATATGAAAGTTGGATTTATAACTACTGATGATGATAACCCAAAACAAGTAGTGTCCACACGGCTCCCACTATTTCAGAGCTAATCGGTAACGTTTCTGAACTCTTACAAGTGTTATTTTCTATTAATGTCATACCTCGAACATATATTATTATTTTTATTAGGAAACATCCTTTAGCTTTTGAAAGAAACTTTGAATTATGATTTTAATGGTGAATAACACTGACAGCCATCACCAAGCAGTAGTAGTGTCTCACGAGTGTGTAATGTCATCTATCGCTGTGCAGGAAAGACTTGTACAGTATTTAGTTGGCTTTTCACGTTTTTGGAGTGCTTAGTAAGGACATCTTAGCACAACAAGTACTGATCATAACAGTAACAGCTGAGTAAATAATAACACTTTGAAATTTATATTATCCTAACTTTAAGAAAAATATGACCATAGGAGAAAAACACGTGTAAAAGTAATTCCTAAATATTCCCTGCTGAAACATTAGTGTCTTATATGCCTGTGCATCTTATTTGCCTTAAAATACAGTACAGTACATCTTCCACTACTGTACTCACAAGTGACTTAAAAGGCCAAAAGTTGTGTATTTTTGTTCAACTTCCTCACCTGACAGACTTTTCTCTGTTAAGATTAATGCAATTTAATATCTCTGTAAACAGCAAAGTAGCTGAAACAAAGTGCTGTGCTGTGCTGTACTGCATAAAAATATAAAACTACTAATGCAAAAGTAATGAATGATGTGATATCATGAGTGTTAAGTATTGGAGAAGTGAAGCTCACATGAGTACAATATTGTACTCTGTATGTAAAACAAAATTTGTTGTGAGACAGGTACAGTACAGGTACTTGCATAGAAATAAACAGGAGAATAAATATATGATATACTGAGTACAGTATTGTATACTGTAGTGTACTGTACAAATATTTGGAGTTCTTTAACAAATAAGTGAGAGCAATTGTGAGGTGATGTAGCAAGTTTGTGTTCTGCCAGAGCTCATGCATACAGCTTGATGAAGGGTGAGTGAGGGTGAGAAAACTGTGTATAGATGCTTCTCTTATAATACATGCTACTCATTTTCTTGACATAGTTCCCCTTCACTCCGGGATGCCACTTTGAATATGTTACAGTATTTGACTACTATTTAATTCAGCTCAGAGGCGACCCCACACACAACGGGTTAATGGAGCTAAATACCTGGGAATATATCGTTTTTCTCGGCACTATCGGGAGCGAGTGCCGTTCTCGTTGTCACTTACCAGTCATGGGGTGTGTCGCGTGGTAGGTGGCGCGAGAGTTATAAGCAGGAGGACGAGCCGAGGGAGCTTCACGGGCCGAGCGAGCCAGACGAGTCATCCTGCGAGCGTTGAGGTGACGACGGTGAAGATGCTCAGCCAGTTCCTGGTCTTCCTCCCCCACCAGGTTGGGGTTGTACTTGTAGTGGAGCTGTGGGCACAACACAACTCATTTACTTCATGTTTGGTGCAGATGTGAGAGAACTTCTGTTGATCAGCTTGCTTTAAGTGTGGCTTATTACTATACAGTACTGTACTGTATGTTTTACTTCTTAGAGGAAGATTTGTATAGTATTTACAATGAGACAAGAAAAACACTACTGTACCATAATACACAACACAATGTGGTGGTACATGGGTGGAAACAGAATGGATGAATATTATAAATTTAAAACAACTAACTAGAGATCAGTAAATTGGTCATAATTGTGTTAATATTGTAATTTTTGACACAAGGGAGTACTGTATTGTCTTAACTGGAGTGAGAATGGATATATTAATGTCCCTCTGATGGTGAGGCAATACTGGACCCTCATAACAGTGTCTGATTAACAACTGGTGTGATGGTGTAGACTAAATTAACATTATAAGGTGTATCAACAGATCATATCTCAACACTTAAATACTACATAGTTAAAAATTCCTGATGAAACTGAATACATGAAATAATGTAACTTATTTTAACAGATCAGATGACCTTGGTGTTCATCTCCTATGAATATGGTTTATAATATTTCCCTTACAACTCCTACAGTGAATATATATCTCTAAAATTTATATGAATACCTGAGAGAACAATAAATATAATGGTCATGCAACAAAGACTGTGATCCAGTGTACAGCAGTGTGAGTCACACGTGTGGTGGTGACGACTTAGTCAAACTGAAATTACTACCTAATACAACATGCGCCAGTAATATTGCCATGCAAGAATAATCTCAATACATAATAAAATGGTCATCAATCTGAAATGAATCTGTTTATCATTAAACTAGTGGTGCAGCTGATACGCACACAAGTATCTTAACACCTTGACAGAGTTCTTGTGGGCCAACTGAAAGGAGAAGGTCCACAAGGGAATCAAATATTTACAGTACACTTGAAGCATCTCGCCTTAATGGCCGGATGGAGACAGCTAAAACTTCCGTCCAGTGAAGAACAAGACAGTGATGTGTGACCCCTTGTTGGGACCAACACATCAGCCTAAGTTCTGCAAGTCAAACACCAGCTATGCATGCAGGTACAGTAACCTTCCACCAGTACAGTATATGCGCACAACTCGAGATTAATGACCACAAACAGAGTTCCTCATCAAAAATTAATTCAAGGATCAAAATATTTAGTATAAAAAACTAGATAATATTCTGCATACATAGTCTTTTAGAGCGGTTCTTCAAAAGTGCTTTGATGGTTCTGTGTTCTTACCAGGATAATGGTGTTCATATCAGCTATGACTCGGCTCAAAGTAAAAACCGTCTTCTCACTAAAGTCTGGGAGCTACATCACCCCAAAGAGCAGTTGTTTGTGTTCTCAACATTTGGTGGAGGAAGAAGGGTTGAGGGTTTTAGTAACTCTAGGATATCATAGTACAGTATACTACTGTATAATGGTACAGTACAGTAATTTAGTTCCGAAGTTTCCTGCAGCAGTACAAAGTCATTGTCAACTACACAAATAATGTACACGAGATGAGAAGTTTGCAGCAGTTAAATCTAACCAGTGCAGTGTAACACCAAGACCAGCCCAGCCCAGCCCAGCACGGTAAATAAATATTTAACAAGAAGATATCCGAGGAGCTTCTGTGAGGCCTGGCAACAACCAGACCGAGAGCCACCCAGCAGGCAATGGGTTGTGTGAATGGTTACAGTACAGTATATCATGCACCAACTAGTGCAGTCTTGGTTGGTGAAATATTTTAAAAGGGGGTTGCTCAACACTTTGTGTACAACAAAACAATTCCACCATGGTGTCCCCCAGTGTTGTATCTTTGGTCATGGATTATATTAAGATTACCTGTTGACTGGCTGCTGGCAGCACTGGATGAGGGTCACACCTCACATGAAGACTTGTTAACTGCTTTCACCAGGAGTTAAGAATTACTTGAACACAAGCAAGTGATAATTTAGAGGATGAGGAGTTAAGGGCAGGTACTTCATCTAGGGTAACTGGTACTCCTTCAGGAACTTTGCTCATCGACAAAGTGGAAGGTCAACATGACCACAGACAGACTAGACTAACAGTTATGTATATACTCTACATTATTAACTATTAATTTTTTCACACAATTACCGGGTATTCACATTGTTTTATTATTTTTTTTATAATGCTGAAATACAATCAATAAACCCATAGACCATCTTATCATCAGTATTGATGTTGCATTTTTATATACTTGTACAGAATAATGTAAAAGAGCAAACAATACTGTAATGTACTGTGCATGAAGACTGACACAGCCTTTTGCTCTGACTTGATGGTCCAAAATTTACATCATGTTGTTGCAGTTATAAGTACACACGGTACAGTATCTCAGGGGTCCCAAAACTCTTCTGGGTCACACCATGAGGGAAGACTTAACATAATATGAACTGAACTTGTGGCTCAGATAGTTTGCTTTCATCAAATAAATTTGTCTTATTTTAATGATACTCTTATCATGATTATGCACAATAAATTATTACCACCACATTTCATAAATGCTTAGTTGAATAATTACAGCTTGCTCGAAGTTACTGATTATTTGATGCAAAATGTCAAACACTAGACTATCAATATCTGTACACCAGTAACAAAGGTGTCCGGTACATCAACTTGTTCTGCCACCCGATGAGAACCACGAGCTGTGACCACTGACTGACCGAGCTATTAATGTGAGGCAGCAGATGTTGGACACTCTCAGCCTCAGCGTCCGGTGCAACAGTCGTGATCTCAGCCGTGACTTCACAAACTTCACCTCGGAGAATATCTGTTCACATACACTGTATGCAATATGAACCCTAATATTGTGATCATTTCAGCCCTGAACTCTTAAAGTAACGGTAAGTCAAAGAAAAAGTTGATGAGTCAACTTGTTTTATAGACTTATCAAGGTGTTATTTGCCTCAAGGTCTGCCAGCACTGTGCCAGTTAATGTATAAGAGAGGACTTGTTTATGTGAGCTTTGAAGGATTACTGGAGGAATCTAAAGGTTTGGAAAATGCTTGTGGAAATGTGTAAAATACTCATTGCACTTCATATTAACTACACTACACTTGGTAGGACCTCACAAAGCTCCCAACGAGAAATTTGACCATCATCATCTCACTCCATTACTGTACTGTACAGTACAAACTTTTACGTTGAAGACGAGTATATTTATCTCAAATGCCTTAATATTTGAAGACTTGTTACATACGTACAAACATCCCTGATCCAAGTGTAATCTGACCTGCCTGGTCAGGCTTGTGGTGTTCCATCATAATTTTGTACGTGGCATATCTTTATCACCGAAGGTTTGTTGTCGTGTCTGCCAGGAATATGTGGGCCAGAGTTTGGGAACCCCTGCTGTTTGCAACATACATTATAAAGGCCCTACTTAATACAGACTAAACCAATAATATTTGTGTGACTGACAATATTAAATTTGCCCCAGTAATATTATGACCAGTAGGAGTCTTGACTTACTTGTATCATCCATACAACAACACCTTCCCTGGTCCTGGGTACACTGTTGCCAACACAAGATGTGTTATTGAAATATATATAAATGTGACAACTTAAAGTTGAGAGAGCAGCCATGATGAGGGCCAACTGGTGCTCTTATTCATCAGTCTTAATAAACGACCAATGTTGACTGTAGACTTATATTGAACCTTATTGCAGTCACTTATTAAGTGATCAGATAAATATCTTCAAAAATATATACAGTATTGTATATACTGTAAGGTGCAATATGTACACAAGTTTTAAATACATCTAACACTCACTACAAACTCACTGACTCTGAAGATTCAACATTTGGTAACGTCAAATATTACACTAAATATATAACCCTGACTTTATATGTTTTCCAGAGGTATTTATTGTGTTTATGTCACTACAGCTGTATAACCTTCAGGTAAGATCCTTTACCTTGATAAACTCAAGGGTCTGGGATCAACAGTCCAGCCTTCCACCAACTGCTGAGACATTACATGATATAAATAATGCATAAACAAATACAGCAGAGGCAGATTTTTCAACAACTAATCTAAGTCATGGACAGTAAAGTATAATAAGCATATAAAGCAGAGCTAAACCTATGAAACAGCGGTACAGACTACATAACAATCTTGGCTAAGTAAAGTCATCTAGGTGCAGTTCACTACCAAGAGGAAAATAACTATGAGCACAGTAATCATGGTATCCCCGCGTCTATGAAATAATAACTTCCGTCACGGAGGAGGGTTGTCACGTATCGATGCAGAGAACGAACCCCATGCATTCCTCAGAAACGAGAAAGGATTAACGTGTGCACTTGTATTATGACTCTCATTTCCATTCAGTGATTTCTTTTGCTATAATGTTTAGTGCGAAGGGTTTCATTCCGTGAGTTTCCACTGTGTGTAGTTCCAGTCAGTGAGGTTGGTTCACGCCGTGTGGTCCCAATGCCAGAAACTCCATTCCGTGACTGTGAACTCCGTGTTGAACTTTGACCTTTGTTACCTGCCTGACTCTGCCTGTAGGTCAGAATTAAGGAAGAAAGCTGTCATCAGGGATTGTGAGGTGTACGTCGCACCACCAACCTGTACACATCCAAGGCCTCACACAATTAACTTCATGACATTATTACAATTTCAATAATATTTTCCAATAAATTATTAACAGTTATTTTACTCATTATATAACCTACTAAAGTACATCTAATTACAAAACACATTGATTCAGCAATAACATAGTACAGTACTGTATCTTATCTAATACACATCTTGTATCCACCTCACACCACACTCTTCTTACAGTCATAATCTCTCTTGACTTTCCTTCCACAGAATGTAAATGTTTATACCAGTTTATCTTCTCACACAGACTACCTGCACTACTTGATCAGATCTCTACCTACACATGAATTACTCAGTACAGTATTCTCCAAATAACCTGATTAAAATTAAGTACTGTATATATATTTGTTTCTTATGTAGAGAATAGTATATCAGTTCTTCCCTCTTATACCTTCACCATCACTCCCTAAATATTCTGTGTGTTTCTCTTATTCACTTTTTAATTGCTCTTGAAATATTTCCTTTTACACTTGTTTGTTACACCAGTCAGCTTTAATTCTCTCTACACAGTCTGTCTATGAACTTGTCTACCCACCTCCCAGTAAACCCCATTTTCTACCCAGTAAACTAGTTAAGTTTGGTATCCATCTGCTCCTCTAAGGCTAACCCGGGACCCTCCTCTACACACACTCTGACCTTCACGGTACACCACAACACACTCATTCATACCTAACTCCATCCTCCTACTCTCAAGATTTACTAGTTTTTACCATCTTTAAGCCGCCACAATAAAGTAGTTTTGTCCAGATCTTTCACTCATGATCACACGTCTTCCCTTGCTCTATAATCTACCTGTTGACATCAGCAGTGGTGTTCGACTTTTTGAGAGCCCAGCGCAGAGCTCGTCTATCTTGGACGTGTTGGTGCAACTGCAGAGTCTGCTGGAGTCACACGTGATAACCAGAATAAGGACTCGTGATCAGTGGTGGGAGCTGTATACCTGTGGCTCTACTGCAGGTCTCATGTGTCAACTGATGACTTAATAGAATTTTTGTATCACCTGAAGCTTAGGCACCACAGTTTATTACAAGTGATGATTAAACACCTTTAAGTTAACCTAACCTAACCCCTCTAGGTATAGTAGTGTTAGGGTGTTTAATCATCAGGTGAAATAAGATGGGTTTGCCTAATCGTCAGGTAATCCAAATTTTCCTTTTCTTAACACAGTGGTCTCTGTACAGTATCTGTTCCTGAAGACTGGTGCATTATGTTAGATACTTGATGTTGAGGTAAGTTAGGCAAAGCTAGAGAAATATTACCTAATTAAGTCAAATGTATTGCTAAATGGTTACGGCTCTACTGTACTGTACAGGCTACTGACAGGGTGAGCCACACTCTGCCTCTAAGACACAACACAAACAGCACAGCTCATTACTATAAGTTTCCATATTGTATATACATTTTTATGTACTGATAACCACGAAGCTCCCAAATGCTCTCGTGTAATTCACATCTTCAAGGGCGAGTGAATTACACGAAAGCTCTTGGGAACTTCGTGTTTTCTTGTTTCCTATGTTGTTATCAGCATATACATGGATGACACACACCTACAGTGATTTATTTGCCTACATTTTTATATACATAATTACATGCTAGACTTCAGTATGTACTGTACTTACATGTGCCTTAATATATTGTATATGGAGAAAAGTGGGTACCATTGAGTGAGGATATAGCACACTGAACACAAAGACTCGGTACAGAGGCTCCCATTCACAGATGGGTCAACTGGGGGTGTCCTGAGCACACACCACTTACTAACTTCCATAACAAAATATTGTACTAAAAATTAAAAACATATAGTATATAAATTTTTATGTATAAAGGGACTTTCTTCATAAAATATATCACAAAAAACACATAAACAATGTATTTCCTACAACATGGAGCTGTTCATAAATGAAACCATTCTTAACCAATGTCTTCACCAGTTTCCACATACAGTAGCCCAGTTAATAAATCAAAATACTCAACCGAAACATAATAAAAATACTGTATAGCTTTTATGACCAATAAATCACAAAGAATCTGTTAGTAACTTTCACCACACCATGTACTGCACTGTACTGTACTGTACTGCACTGTACAAGCTTCAGTAACACTACATAATTTACTTTAGTGAATTACATACAAGAGTCTTAAAGGTGTATTACTTCCTCTTGAGTCATTAGTGTTAAAATAAGATCAACATGAGTACAGGAACACATGTTTGTCCTGAAGTAGCTGCTCCAGAGACACACTTGACATCATCCAGGAAACTGAAGCACCTCACAACTCTCTTCTCCTAACTTGGTGAATAGTAATAATAATACACAAACAAAGATCTTCAGGTGAGATAAAATATATAAATGTTTTCTCTGGAATATATATAACCTACTAGTGGAGAGAATATGTAAGTTAAACCTTCCACAGTTCTAGATAACAATTAACAGCAACTGAAACAGAATTCATGTTAACGGTCCAAACTAAGCTGGCCCTTCCCACCTGAGGGTAGAGGCCCACAGGTCTGACTATGAGGGGAGGAGGGAGGGTACAGTAAGACATGCTATGGAACTTTCATAAGGTTGAGTTGTAGTCTCCTGTTTAGTGATGTACAAGAAGACTCACTACTAAAGGCTTAAAACACAACTTGTTTGTGAAAAAAACCTATAATTTGTTTTACTTAACTGTCATCCTATTGTCATGGTCACGTTGACTGCTAGTCTGATTAATTAATGATTCTTATTAAACTCCACGACCGCAAAACATGTGTGGGTTAGCAACCCCTGAGAAGAAGACGTGTTTTCCCCATAGACGCTACACTTGTTCCCTCCCAGAGTCCCGCCTTTGTGAAGACAGTTGTCGATCAGTTGTTATTCCACTTTCTCCTGGGAAGCTCAATTTTGAATTAGTCTGTGTAGATCAACTCAAGAAATTTGCCAGACCTTTGTCAACTGAGGGTCATCTTTGAATAAGTAACAGAGTTGTTTGTAATTATTGTCATTGCGTGAGCAGCGATCACTGGCAACTCAGGGATATATATACCCGCGCATCACGCAGGGCGAGCGTCCCCTGACGCTCTCCAATGCTTCCCCAGGTATGTTTAGGTGTAGCCATTCAGTTTGATTCAGTCAATTGTAGTGAATATCAGTGTTCGTCAGTGTTCATGCTTTAACAGTTGAATTGTCATTCACCCAGTGTAAGAAGTAATATAACGTAAATATGTCTGTCGTTTCTAGACCAGAGATTTGTTTGTTGTCATGCTTCCGTCCCCTGACGCTCTCCAATGCTTCCCCAGATCCAATTGTGACTCTTGGATCACTCGATAACTGCCCCGGATGTAGTAGCTACTCGGCAGGGATCAATATATGAAACGATGGCACCGATGCGGCCTGATTAATATGCTCCACTGCCTCGTGGTGCCAGACCCCAGACTCGCCATGTGTCTGGCTACCACCGACCACAACAACAGTCGTGAACCCCAGTGTTCTACTCCGGGACCCTCCCTGGAAGTTATATGTCAACAGAGGGTGTTGTAATATATATATGTTGGGGATAATTAGTTGGAAATAATTATCCCATGTTGGGTAGTGGACCCATGTATCTGCTGGTTTCAGTATTAACGTGTATGTTGAGTAAAGTCTTGTAACTGTACTGAGAAGTACCACTTGGAGTGGCAGTAAAGTAATGTACAAGGAGTGCCATGTACAATGTATTGTGAGTAGGGCCAAGGAACTGGTCCTGCTATGTAATGTAATGTAACACCAGTAAGGTTGTGTTCAGTAAGAGTGTAAGATCTGAGTAATTACTGTTGAATAAGTAAATAAGAAAATAAGTAAATAAGAAAGTACTGAGTCTGCAATAAGCCCAGGAGTTGAGCCTGATAGTTATATGCTAATAATATATCTTTTTCCCTTTGATTTCATATTAATAAACTTGTTCTTAGAGTATTTTAGGCGTATTCATTTCTCCCACAGTATTTTACCTTTATTTCCGTCCAAGTGACTTGATACCAGAATTACCTTACCCATGTGCCTAGACCCTCGCCCATGCTACCAAAAGAATATGTGACAGAACTGAGTAAGAGTAAGAACTAAGATAAGAAAAGTAAGCAAGATGAGGGAAACACGCGCCCTTACACTATAACATTATATTATGGAGAATTTGTCAACTATAAATCCTTCTCACATATAACTTTATGAGGACAGTATTTGTCACAGTGTCTAAGGTCTCCTTTAAGTTCTCAAAAGTTGTTCAGTTTTATAAAGTGATCCGGGAGACGAAGGACAACATATGTACCTTATTATAGGGGTTATTCCTAAACGCTTTACGGAGGACCTGAGCGTCATGCGACTGCTGGTGACTTGTGGACTCCTCGGAACTCGAGGACGCCACTCTGCTTCTCCTAGTGGGCAAGATAGACCCGCGCTTCTTCCGTAGTTCCACACTCCTGAGCACGAGAAACTCTTGACTCAAAACACTTGTGAAAAATCAACTATTTATTACAGTATATATAAGTTGTTCATTCAATAAATTATTAATATGATGATTTACTTACAACCCTGAACAATAGACTTATATCAGAAGGAGCCCTAAAACACACACACTATAATTCTCCACTCCGAAGTTGGGAACAGATAAAGATGAGAATAAGACTGAAAGCAAGAGGTACTACTACAACCAATATATTCTCTTCCTTACCCGTCGTGAACAAAGCCGGGGATGATCTCCACATCACCGTCTTCATCCTCAAGATTTAACCTAAAGACAATAAAACACATTAGAAAACATATTTACGAAGAATTAGTCGAGGACGGCCGCCAGTGATCAAGGAGCAGAGACAATTAAGTCGATTACGATGTTTTGTAACACGGGCAGCGGAGAGGATAAAGTAAAATACAACCGTTGAATTTCTAACAGTGAGGTGAGGGTGTATGAGCTGTATACTGTACCACCAAACACAACGTATGATGGTATATTTCTGTACTCACTGTCACAAGAAACAACGACTAACTGTACTCACACACGACTGATAAAAAAACACCACAAACTATTCATTACTAAAGGCAATGGTTCATTAAATATACACCAATGATTTACTACAATACATAAAGACCATAGATATTTTCACTCATTAAGTTCTGGTATAAAGTATTTGGAAGTGAAACTATTATTTGAGGAAAAAGAAAAGAAAGTTCTTAACAAATTATAAATCTACACATCCTTTGGAATTTTCTTTTTATCACATGAATGATCCAAGTTCTAACAATCTTTAATCTGGGTTCTAACAAAATGTCTAATCTGAGTTCTAAAAAAATCTGACCTCGGTTCTATCAAAATTTCATCCTTGTGCGACATAGAAAATGATGAGGGGCGGATCTTTCTCTCTCTCTTGACAGATGGGCAGAGCGGCGTAACCTTGTCCTCGATCAAGGCCACAGGACCATACAGGTGGGCATAATGTTCTCTGGAGACAAGAAAAATAATTGAAAGTGGTGAGATCAGGTCAGGTCAGGTTAGAAATAATATACAGTAATGATAAATCTTCATAGTAAGAAAGGAATATTTATGAAGAAATGGTTTTTGGTTACATTGAAAGTTTGGAAAGAATAAGTGTGAGGGAAGCCCATGGCATAGTGCTTGAGAACCAAAATTTTGCTGTAGTAACAATTAAAATAACCTTTCTGAGTTACTAATCTCTGGGGCCTCGTAAGTGTCAGTAAGTACAATAAAGTAAAGCAGATACGTAGACCACACTTTATTTCCGTTGGCACTTACAGGTTCCAACAGTACTTACGATATTGCAATTTTTTCGAAAAGTCTTTGGAGTTTTGATTCACAGGATGGCCGTAGGAACCACTTTTTGAGGTATTTGTCATTGTAGTACACCATTAGTTCCTACCGGGAGAAAAACCATCTGGTAACGTAGATAATACACATGTGTTTTAGGGGATAGATGTCATCTTTCCAAAGTTATTTCAAATTATCAAATATGCAAATTCTTGTCGATTGAGTTGTACTTTATGGTTCATTAAAAGGTGTTTACAAAGTCCATTGATGTTATGTTTACAAAAGACCCTTCAGGAAATTACACATCCGACACACAGGTTTGTACTTCATCATTCCCTTCACTAAGTCTGTTCTTTATCATGTCTACCAAGATATTTTCCTTAGACTTGCAGGATGAATAGTAAAGAATGCATCGTGGACAAGAGTGAGGTATCCTTCACATGACGAAGACAACAGTACAGTATACAGTATGCAGAAAAAAATGAAGTACCATATATTATACCAATGTTATGGTATGTGTAACTTCCCTAAGGTAACTTGGTAAACATCCCATACACTTTATTACATGACATAGAATTATGTTCCTTTACCTGATAAATTACCCAAACATTCTCCTCAGTTTCCTCCTGTACTAACACTGGATAAACCGCCCAAACGGCTAGTAAGCTGATAAGTGGCCAATATGATAAAATATAATAATTCCCCCTTAGCCCCTCCTCACCCTCCCTCAGCCCCTAACAACTCCCCCTCAGCCCCTAACAAGTCCCCCTCAGCCCCTAACAAGTCCCCCTCAGCCCCCCCCCATGACTCACCCTGAGGTAGAAGTCTCCGTGCTGGCCCAGGATCTCCTCCACCCCGGCCATGATGTGGTCCATGGTGGTGGTGTTGATCTCCTCACTCAGGTTCCTCTTCCCAGATTTATGTTTTTGTATCTGGAGGAGGTTGACCAGGGGCTTGATGGTCATTCCCTGGTGGACACAAGTGTTGAGATGACTACACATATCCTCAATGTATATCATTTAACTCCTTCACTACAGGGGCACCACTTTTAATACTCTATTTGGCTGACCCAGATGAGTTTATTCAGCTCAGAAGGGACTCTGTACATAAGGGATAATATCATTTGTCACTTTATCTGTGTTTCAGGGAGTCATTTCAGCTACAGTAAACAGTACAGTATATACTATAATCACTAAAACCATCTGTAAGTAATATAAATCAACAAAAATTAATAAAACTAAGAAAAAGGCTTAGATTAAAAACAAGGTTCTTTTTTTGTTTGGTTTAAACCATTAGTTAAATCAGTCAACCCTGGCAGACATACAAATTATGTACCAAGACAGTGCAGGTATACATACCTGTATAAAGATAGTGAAGAGAATAACAATCAGGGTGGTGGTGACAAATATCCTGCGAGGAGCCAAGGACTTGTCCAGCATGTTGACCAGGGAGAAGGCCACGGCCCCCCGCAGCCCCCCGTACGCCGCGATGAACTGCTCCTCCAGGCCAATCTTCTTAACCCGGTAGTTGTTCATCAGAAAGGTGAGCACAAAAACACCTGTCGTGGGAAAGTCTTGTGAGTGAAAGGTCAAAAATAGTTATCTTTTCTAAAGTGAGAGGTGAAGGTCCAGGTGTTACGTTCATTAGCGTTACAGTAATATGCCAGTGGTACAGTGCAGTAATAATGCACATATCTCTCACTACAGTGTTCTGGGTTCAATCCCCAGCTTAGGACATATTGAAGGGTGTTATCCAGTGTGACACTACAAAATGTGGCAGGTTTTCTCCAGGTACAGTACTACAGTCTCCTCCTGTTCCAACACTAGACAAGAAAGGTCATAACAAAGAACAGACCAACTGCCTGAATGACTAGTACGTTGATATGTGGTGAAATGATAAATAATAAAATAAATGTTGTAATATACTTTCCATATATCCCAATTATTCTTCATATTTTTATATTTGTATCTTTCATTTTTAAGTCATTTCCATTTGTGTCTCAGTTTTTCATCCAACTAATGCTTCCACCACAACAGCTGCTTATTCTCTTGTGATAACTCCTCTCCCAAGCTAGCTGGAGGGTTAAGTTAGGTTAACGTTTGGGTGGTTAATCTCGAGGTGAAATAAGATAGGTGGGGTTAATGTCCCTCCATCCAGCCTTTATCCCTTTATCTTTCCATTCATTCTTCTTTTAACCCTGTATGCCCTTCTTTCATCACTCCCTATGGTAAGTGATGCTCTATACAGAAACTTGGTGATCGATCCTTGATGTTTGATAGAGTACAAGACCATGAACAACGGTACTCTTAAGTTACTCTATATTGATCACATCTCTTATGTACATATTTACAACATACAGTAGTGTTAGTATTGCACGAAATTACATACAACTATCTAAACTAAGGAAAGATTTGGGTCATATTTCATAGGAATAACATAAAATTTGTCTCGACTTTATTTGGCCGCTGCACACAAGACTCACCGATAAACCTGTAGATAAAACACAAAGTGACGCTCCAGAGGACAAAGCCGGTGTGCCACTCATGTTCGTCACTCACCAGCACCATCCCCAGGAACATGAAGATAACTGTGTCACTCGTCGCACTGCGTGATGAAACAAGATAATGATCAACGTGGTAGAGAATAAAAATGTTATCTCTGTGACATAAATTACTTTAGTGAGCTACAGTAAGTTACAAATATGAACTGTTATGAAACACTCCAGTACACACACTCACCTAGCCATCTTGGTGAAGTATTTAACACAGGTGTAAGACTTCTGAGAGATGTTCGCGAAAGCATAATGTGCTTGAAGAAGACCGCAGACAATAAGACTGTTGGGTGAAAATGTTGTCTCTTAATTATATAATTCATAAAACTAATTAACATAATATAAAAATAGTAAATGTGGATACAGAGGTTTGAGTTGTTCTGCCTAGATAAAAGAAGGTGTATCAATATGTCTTAATTGTCACTTTTTATTCATATAAGACACAGGTAGTCAAGATAATGTTTGTACTTATTTATACACAGTCAGGTAGATATAGTATACAGATATATAAACAATGGTAAACAGTAAGTTGATTGATGTACTGTACTACATAATGATTCAGTGTGTGTGTAGACAATGCAGGTACAGTACCAAACTATACAAACAAGTACAGTATTAACTAGTGACTTACCTGATAATACCTGAGAAGTGAAACAGCTCAGCGGTGAGGTAGCTCAGGTAGGCCAGACCCAACAGTGCCAGGGGCTCAACCACTAAAACAAGTAAGCAACACAAGAGGATTAATTATACTGTACAGTAAACTTGTAAATTTATCCATACTGGTGATAGTGTCAACACCACCAACAACACCATCTGTAACTTTACCCTTCATGAATCACCTGAAGCTTTGCCCCAAGTGCTCACCTGGAGCTTTGCCCCAAGTGCTCACCTGAAGCTTTGCCCCAAGTGCTCACCTGAAGCTTTACCCCAAGTGCTCACCTGAAGCTTTACCCCTCAGCTTAACCACCTTGATTTGGCAGTCTGGTGTGGATTAGATCACTGGTCTGTACTGGACTGTGTTCAAACTATTGTCTTGTCACATCTTGGAACATTATATTTAAAGGAAATATTATCTCTATACTGTACTGTAATACTTGAAGACTTTGCCTCAGTTGGTCATCAAATTAGGTGAGCTATTGTTTGTCTCTCCCTGATCAACTTCAAACACTTGACTCTGACCTACATGTACTGAAGCACTTGACATACTGTATGTAAAATTTCTTGGGACCAAAACACAAACTGTTGGCACAAAGTAAAACAAACAGTAGACACAAACCTCTGACGTCCGTTGTAGACTTGGTGACGAGGGCCGTGAGACACCCAAAGATGATGCCGATGGCAATGCCTCCACACACAACAATGAGGAACGCAGCGATGGCTAGAGCGTACTGGTCCAGTGTGACCCTAGTCATGGACATGAAGGCCTGCATAGTGTTGTACACCACCACCGTCACACCATCTGTAGGGAGTCATACTGTACAGTGCTGTTTAGGGTGCCTTATATTTACACCATATGTAAAAATTCTATTGTACTGTAGTTGTAAATTCTTATTCCTGGTAGAGTAGAACAGAATAGAGTAGAGCAGAGCAGAGCAGAGTGCAGTAACCTAATTAACAAGAATTTACCAGCAGGTATTTTGAGTACTACTGGAGGATTCTCACCACCTAAAGGCAGAGCAAAGTTTGATAACCAACTTGATTATAGAGAACTTGAGCACCTGAAGACTGTCCTCCCAGCTGCCTGATGACTTACCACACTATAGCCACCTGGGAGGAACAGTTTTATTAAGTTAGGTTAGCATAAAGGTGGTAAATCTAAAGGTGATAAATAAACTGGTTACCTATTTATAAAAGTAGAGGATGCGAGTTAAAAATCTTACAACCATACACTCAAATAATCTTGTGTAGACAGACAAACTCACCGTTGAGGAGAGATTCACCAAAGATAAGGAAATAGAGGTCTTTGTTAACACCCAGCTCCTGGAAAATGGCCAACACAGCCACTGGGTCCACGGCAGAGATGAGAGACGAGAACACCAAGATCTCCGTAAACCTGTACAAGGACAACATGACTCAGGGCTACAGACAACACCTCACTGTCCCACTCTCACTGTCTCTCACTCTATATACTATAACAAAAACTAGAATCATAGTTGCTTATATTTAATTGATAAAATCATCATTGATAACTAGGAAGGAAGAAATATTATCTTCTCTTATTAACACCAACACCCTGACCCACTGATACCAAGACCTTTATACCCTGACACCATTACACCAAGACCCTTACACCCTGACACAGCTCTTAACTACCCTGCGGCCTTCATAACACTTTAATGACTTGTACCACTCCACCCAGCTCTGTTAACTACTACCACACTGTATTAGCATTCTATACTCTGTCTCACAAGGTAATGCATCTATGCTAAGACTCACAAACTCAAACCAGGTACTCTTACACCCAAACTCACGAGAAGGTGATGTCGCCCATAGCACCAGCAGCTCTTAATCCATAGAGCGAAGGACCTGAAATAACCACCTTTTATTACTTACTAACCACAAACATAGTACTGTATCTCTGCTGTATTGACCACAAGTTACTGTACCTTTCAAAATTTATACAAAATTAGTTATTACATGAGGCTGCAGGATTATGGTACTCTGCCACAGAAAGAAATCATCACAATCCTTTCCTAAGTTATAATGAATAATTCTTAATACAATGAAGGGGTTTTGATTGTGGGGGGAGGGGGGGGGTACAGTATCTCTTTAAACAACTTCTGTGGATCAATGTTCCACCTATACTCACCAATAGCAAATATATTGAACATCGTCCCCTGGGAAAAGAAAAAAGAGAAACTCCTTCAGTACAGTATATAATTTATTATAGAAAAGTACCAAAACTATTCCTGGTAAGTAAAGATTGTATACACGTCTGATATAATAAACTATATAAAGGTAATACTAGAGACATAGGTACAATGTGAGAGAGGGGGGTATAGCTGTCATGGGTGAGACTTACAACAATAGCGAAGACCAGAACGGTGCCCAGGTTGTCGAAGAAGGAGCGGTCGTGGAGCGAGTACGCCGACTCCAACACAATACTGGAATGGATGAGTTACCTATGAATGGATGAGTTACCTATGAATGGATGATCCTTCATTAACATAGGGAGAAAAGGAGGAGGAAGATAAAGACACGTGGATGAAGGGTGGATGAAGGTGGCACAGTACATAATATAAAACATAATATAATAAATAAACACTGTGTAAAAAGGATTTGTGGAAGATTTATAATTAACAGGAAAATTAAAAACAAAAGCACATCACAATAGACATTAGATATATACCCATAAAAATCAATAAACATAAAAACTGAATAACCAGAGAATTATAATCCCCAAATTCATGAACAGTATTACCAACTGTAAACCCTGACCGTAAGACACAACTGTTAACAGGACATCAACACAACAAACCGTGATGAGTTATGGTAACACTGGTGCCACAATTATCTTTACAAAGGTGATCGATGAATTCCAAAATGAACGCTACGACTCCTGTTGTCTCGGTGGGGTTGTCAAAATCCTTCGTCCATTGTGTCATATTGTCTCACACAAAATCGTAAAGATACTTTTTGGTAATACTTGTGGACAGAGTGAAGGCTGTGTGGTGTGGTGTAGAGGGTGTGGAGTGGTGTGGTATGGTGTGGTATGGTGTGGAGTGGTGTGGTTTGGTATGGTGTGATGTGGTGTGACTGTGGGTTAACGTGGTGTTGGGTACTATACTCACGGAGGCAGGAGGACGAAGAAGAACTTATCAGAGGTAAAGTGCGGCAACTCAATTCGGGTGTGACAAACATTCTCCGTGACTTCATCTCTGGCAGGAAGCAAAAAATAATTAGTGAAAAGAAGACTATAATGTCAGAGCTCTTACCTTAACCTCAACACCACAACAGAACAGTACAGTATTAATATAACACAAGTGTACGACTCTTTACTAACTACTACTGTATATACAAGTTACATTGATTTTTTTTATACTAAATTACAGAAGGGTTTCAGGATGAACAATGTAATGTACTGTACTGTATATAATGTCTCACAAACACCAATAAGCACACTATAGAATTAGTTTTAAAAAATGACAATACTAATGGGGTTAGCCTGAGGAGGGGGGGGAGGGGGGTGGCAATCTACAAGTGATCCAAACAGGCTTTAAATACCTTAGTTGTTGAAGCACAGACAGACAACGAACAAAAATACTGGTGCTGCCTCAAGTACCGACAAAGACTTACTGTGTGAAGAAGTAGAAGATGACACCGAGAATTATACCCAAGACGACCAGCAAACAAGACTCCGGCACTCGGTGAGACAGCCAGTGTAGGTGGTGGAAGGCTGCCATGGTTGGATGACAAATATTTACAAATTTATTAACATTTACAGAACACACACACACACACACACTAACAACACGTGGTTATTTTCTTAGTGATGTTGTAAGCTTTGAAATGAGCTTAAATCAGTTTATATAAATTAATTCTAACCTGAAACAAGAATATACAACATTGCTGGATCTGAGAAAATCTTACTTGGCAGCAATACTGTATAAAAATATTATGGTAAATATTTAGAAATGTGTTCATCTTAAACTGACCTATACAGTATTAACACATCCATGAACAGTTGTCATATAAAACCTTTTGAAGTGTGATTTGTTCATCTAAATAGTGATGAACAAGTTGCTACTGAACGTGTATGTGCTGTCAATTTTTGTTTTCTTCTCAGAGATTTTAATTATATCATATCAGTTCACTTTCATTATCCCACACTGGGGGTGATAAGGGAACACCAAGCGGGATTTTATTTTACCACCTACACTACAGTATGTGAGGGCTGACGTTATGACCTCAATCCTTATCATTTATTTTATGACCAGGGTAAATACTGAGGCTCTTATCAGGAACCCACTGCCAAAGCTAATTTCTACTCTCATAACATCTCGAAGTTAATGTATATGTGTTACCTAGCTTAGTGAAGCCGGCGATGATGACGAAGGCGGTGATGGTGTAGTAAACGCCCACCTCCTGCCACCGTATAGACACCAGATGGATCCCTTCCTGGTGGTGGACGGTGTGACACGAGTTCTTCCCAGTTGCTTCTGTCGAGTCTGAGGTGTTGTCGCTATCCCCTCCTGCAACACACACACGTATATCAAGTCTTGGAAGTCATGCAGTAAATCACAGTATAGGAGATGCATTGTTTTTTTAATCACCTTAAGATTAGACACCCAAGCTTAGGTTAGGTTAAGTTAGCGTGATTGACATTTACTCATTTTTTTTCTCAGAATTAAATAAAATGTTAATTATAAAGACAGTAAGAAGAGGAATGAACTGAATCGTTGAAGTAAATATATAACAATAATATTAATAATAATTTTAAAATCATAAGAACAGAATTTACGACTAAATAACCCCCGCCATTAAAGAGAGAGACTATACCTACCATAATTGTCTTTCGCTGCTGTCAATGACTCCCCCAACACCAACAGGACCAATACACTGTACACACTCACCCACACCAACACCGTTCTCGTACTCTGCAAAGTAATCATCATACTGGTAATTATTTATCAATATATCGGTACAGTAATTAGTTTTCAATATATCATTACAGTAACTTAATTATGTAACCTTATACCTTCGTGACTTAGTATAAACCAGAGTGGAGGGTAATTATAATATATAAACATTCAATATATGCATCAGTAAACAATAATTATCTAGTAATTAAATTTAATATGCGGGCATTACTATACATACACAGTATACGGATCACCTGAAGAATCTACACCCCAGCTTATTTCACCTAAATATTAACCACCCTAACGCTACCCTCACCCACCCAAATAGTGTTAAGGTGGTTAATCTTTATTGAAACAAGCTGGGGTGGAGGCACTTCAGGTGATCTATAATGCATTAGTGAACGGAGCTGAATTTTTGAGAAACCTGAATGTAAAGTTTTCTTCCGTGACGAGACTATAAATCTCTCAAGACAATACTGTACTACTAAATTACAGTTATTAAATATGCATTAAAATAGTAAAATATGTAAATTATCCCTTCTAAAAGAGGAATTAGTGATGTCTGTATAATTACTCTGCAGATATCCAGTTTTTTATGAACATTATATAAACAGCTTCTTCCTACTTAAGAATACATGTTTAAAATAGTTATCAAAGTGTAAATTTAAATATAAGCAATTAATATTATAGTATCCATCAGTATGTTAGTAGTAGTCAAGGATACAGTTATTTACTTGACCTTGAAGGGTAAAATATACCTCGCCATTACTCGTCACTGAGACACACGCGATGCCTGGACACGGCTATATAACACAAGCACAACCAAGCTATATATTTATACTATAACACAAGCAAAGCCCAGTTATATATTTATTTTATATTATAACTTATAGCACTAACAATCACCATGTACGCCAACAGCCTAGTTATAACCTTACATTATAAAATATATCCTTCACAACCTATAGCTTCAGTCAATATATCTTTTTTTTAAGGTATCGATAACTTTTAAGGGATTATGTACTCAAGGGGTTAAATCATCATGCCGGAAGGGTTAAAAAAAAGGCATAACTTACCTTAATTAAAGGCATCTAGACGATTCTTGTCACCTGGTTGTGTCACTTCAATTGGGTCTTGTGTCGTTACCACAATACTTAACTACTCCGTACACAAAAAATACTCTATTTTTGTCTCACACTTTCAAGTAACTTTCTGTTCTTCTCCATCACTAGAGAAAAAAGTTTAATTTGTTCGTGTTCAATTTATAACTGTTCATTCGTTTACAGACGATATTGTTCATATGAGTTCAATATCATTTCCTCCTTGTGGTTTGACAGCTTTTTATCATTAAATTTCTCTAGTTACTTTTTTAGTTATATTTTTCTACACGATACATTATTTTTAAACAAACAACACACCATTTCACCATACAGTACTGTATTTTGGTTGCTGTATAAATAATTCCCCAGAGTCTGTAACCTTCTCCAAGTACAAAAATAAATTCCTGGTTGTAAACGGGATCATCTTTAAGCGGCAGACAGAATTAAAAAAAGCGATTTACGAATTATTCACTAAAATACTTCGTTTAAAAATTGTTATACGAGTTTTAATTGAATATATGCAGTGAGTTGTTATCGTTTTATTTTTGTTTTAAAGGATATGACTTAGTATACTAATGTAAGATAATGTGATGGCGGCGTCCGGAAAGTCAGCTGCTGTTGATGACGTCATGGTTTACAAACGGCTTGTGACGTCATAAAAACAGTAGGTGACGTCAGCAGATCAACTATAGGAGGTTTTATTGATGTTTAATGGATATTGATGACACCCTGTTACCCCGCGTTGACGAGACAGGAAGCTGTGACGTTGGTGGTGTGGCGGGTGCTGGGAGGGTTGTGGCTCTCTCTCGTCCTTCTGTTGACAATAAAGATAAACAAGTGAGATAATAGTGAGATAAAAGTGTGTTATAAGATCCCGCAGTGGGTGAGAGAGAGAGAGAGAGAGAGTTACTCCAGCCCGGCCACTAGTCCAGCCCGGCCACTAGTCCAGCCCGGCCACTAGTCCAGCCTGGCCACTAGTCCAGCCCGGCCACTAGTCCAGCCTGGCCACTAGTCCAGACCGGCCAGGAAAGAACACATCTGCCTTGCACTAAAGCACTATCACCTTCGACGGCTAACTCGTTATCCTGAGCGACAAATGTGAAGGCTGGAGACATTTTAACCAACACTTTCCTTCTGTTTAAACGACAAAAAAATATTAATTTACAGAAAACTTACTAAATATCGTTGATGTATATGTTTTTTTATTTATATATTAAGAGTTGTGGCATCAGTATAGGGCGAGGCTCACTGTACGAGTTAGTGAAAATATTGAGATCATTACGCACTGATATAAGCCATGATGACTATTATGTCAGTTGATCAATGAACTCATCAAGATTGGCTTGTTTCACCTGATGATTCAACACCCAGACGCTAACTTAACCTAACCTAACCTAACCCAATCTAATCTAACCCATCCCAACCTAACCAAACCTACCTTAACCCAACGTAGCACTAACCTAAAATTAACTCTTTTAATATATCCACATAGTTAACTTTTAATATACCCCACACACAAGGTTAACAGACAGGTGACGTGAACTCTCCCTCAGGACCCCAGCGGTAAACAGACTTAACCGCATTGTTTACACGGGGTCACGACCTACTCCTTACCGCAATCACCCCCCCCCCCTAGACACTATAATTTCACCTGGATTATAGATAACATATAATTTTTCGTGCGTATAATAGCGATCAGGTACCTGCGTATCTTTCGGTTTATTTCTGCGTATGTTTAGTGAGTATTGAGTTAGTAATTATCGTTTATTTTAGCGTATGTTGAGCAGGTGTTGGTTAGTGGTCAATATATTTCGTTTCTTCTCGCATATATTCAACAGACAGTCAGTCAGTCAGTCAGTCAATACCAATCATTAATCTCCCTCTGAGGGTGGTTGAAGGTTAACGATAATTTATAAATGTCACCACAATCGACCCACAGTTCGTTATGGAAAGTTTTTACAATTTTCTGTGTTTGTTCAGTAATTTGTGGCTGTTACGCTAACGGTCAATACTTGGCGTATATTATCCATTGCAGATGTTTATTCAGAGGTAACTGTTCCGCCAATAATCAATACATTCGTAGTGACATAAACATCGAACGCTTATAATATGTACTCAAGAAATGTTTACTTTAGTATTACAATATTTCGGGTTTCAGTGAATCTACGTGTTGTTAGTTATTTAGACTTCCACAATAGGTTAGGTTATGAGGGAGAGCGTGTACAAGACTTTGGTTGTGTTTGAGAGGCGCAACTAGGAAACAAATGATTACCTTTTTTTATTAATACTATTGGAACATTTTAACTATATATCTTATATTTTCTTTATTATTTCTAACTAAATCTTTTCATTTATTCCTCTCTCTCTCTCTCTCTCTCGGATTATCTTAGTTCAGTATCAGTTTGTTTTAGTGACACAGGTGAACTTAATACTCAGTGTACAGAACTAAATAGTGAAGCTATTTACATACCGAGCGAGGTACTTACTGAAAACTGGTGTGACAAGACCCAAGACTTTTACACGGTTAAAAGTCTGTCTGTCTCTCACATGATTCTCCTTGCTGTCTCATTAACACACAGTAAACAAAGCGTTATCTCCATTTTACAGCAGACAGTGTTAATAAAGGTATCTTGGGAGTACCGCTCTCTCTCCCACACCACCACCACTACTACCCTCACCACCACCACTACCACACCCACTGTAAATCTAACCTAACATCTTAAACCAAAAACCTCACCTGATTTAAACCTAACCAAACCTAAAATAACCTAACCTAAACTATTCTTAACCTAACCTTAATAAACCTAACTTAACCATTTAAACCCGACTCAATCTAATTTTAACCTCACCTAATCTAATCATTCTTCCGTTGCTTTGTTTACGTGACGTGAGAGTCCTGTAGTGGAGAAACAATACAACATGCAAACAAACATCATGGTCGCCACTACTACCCCCAGCAACACACTCACTCTCATGGTGCAGTTTATCATATTAGCTTCTCGTGTTGATGGTGCGTGGTGTGTGTGGGTGTGTGTGTGTGTGTGTGTGTGCGTGTAAACTCTCCCACACATGCACTTAGAACGATTACACGAGCGAAATCAATTTATACTAGAGTTCACATTCAATTTATTCTTGTCATGTAAATTCGTCCTTCAATAGCACTACCTAGGCTGGGGTTCGATCCAGGGAGCGTGACCATTCAAGGACCAGCTGACCAGAGAGAGAGAGAGAGAGAGAGAGAGAGAGAGTTTACTACGGCAGATGTGTGTTGATGATACCTGTCCTCTCCTCTCTCACACCTCCCTCACACCAGCCAGCCTGTCTTAGCGTTATGTCTGCTCTGGTCAAAGTATCATAGGAACAATGTCTTTTGCCCTCGTGTAGATAATGTCGATCACTTATGGCTGTTTCCACCAAAGTTTTTTCATTGAGTCAAAATATTTTAGTGCTATGTCTATTAAAAAGCCAATGTCTCACCTTTATGTCTCAGTTTTACGTCAATGTATCTCAGTTTCAGGTGTATTTCTGAGAAGTTTATGAAAGTGTCAGGTGTAGGCTACAACTCACAGCTATAAAGAGTGATGCAATACCTGCCCTCACGTCATATAGAACCTCTCCACCTGTTGAACACACACACACACACACACACACACACACACACACACACACACAGCTTTTCGTGTTTAGTGACCTTGGTGGGGGTCACACGTAGAGGTCAGGGTCAAATGGTAGTACATTGTGTGTGTGTGTGTGTGTGTGTGTGTGTGTGTGTGTGTGTGTGTGTGTGTGTGTGTTGTTCCTAGGAAGCTTCCACACTCTGTAGCTGTATCATAAGGACAGACAGACAGACACACATAAACCGTGTGGGACATAAGAACCTCAACTTAACTCCATACTGACCCATGACCACACACAGTGACCCATGATAACAAACAGTGACCCATGACCACACACGACCCATGACAACAGTGACCCATGACAACAGTGACCCATGACCACACACGACCCATGACAACAGTGACCCATGACCACACACAGTGACCCATGACAACAGTGACCCATGACCACACACAGTCACCCACCAGTAAAACAAAACAAACCACCCTGGCTGGCACTGTCGATCGAACCTGTGTCCTCCAATATTTAAGTGAGCGTCCTGTCCACCGCCCCACCGCTGGCCCCAGTGGGCCATTATTCACAAAACCCCGACACCACCAACCACAAGGAACCAACCACAACACAATAAACCTTTAGATTAATTACCGATAAAGTGTAATTACTCCTAACTACTTAACCTCCGTGTATTAATTACCCTATTGTAGTTAATTGGATGATTCGGGGTTAACTATCCAGGGGGTCATTACCAGAACAGGGTAGGTGTAGGGTGGCAGCCCTGACCCAACAATTACCTTATCTTACTCTCCAATTAAGCTATAATTACCAAACGTTATTTGGGTAATTAGTAAATTGTTGGCGGTGGTTTGACCTCCTTCGTGTCACAAGGTGACTCAGGTCGATGTTCTGTGTGAGAGGTCAGGTCAACGCAGGTCTGACTCAGGGTAGACCTTCGACTTGCACTGTTCAACAATAGGTCATAACTCTTTGACCTCTTGTATATAACTACACTTTTAGTTTTATCTTGTATACATTTACCCAGGTGTATATCTGTGTATACGTATGGCTTTAAAGAGTGGGTAATTATACACAACTTTGGTTTGAGTAAACAAATGGAGCTAACGGAAGTGTGTGTGTGTGTGTGTGTGTGTGTGTGTTTCTATATCAATGATTTTCAGCAGTAGGTATACCAAACTATACATAGACAGTGTAGGTATACCAAAATATACATAAACAGTATACAAACAATGATAAAGAGTAAGTGTGTATAGTATTAGAGGAAGTATTGTGTATAGCCTAGCGAGTATAATCCAGTTTGGCGGTGAGCGCTGAGGGTAAGGTCGGCCGCTGCAAATTATTCCTGAAGGCTATGACAGTATCGATGAGCGTTTTAATTAAGGTGGTAGCTACACTAGTCTTGCTTCCACAGCGTCGACCACATAAACTGTCTACACCCTCAGATAATCCTCACTCGAACTGTCTTAAACTGTATTAACTATCTAGCCCTCAAATAAACTATCCCACATTTAAATAAACTGTCTTTTCAATATTTCCTCAGGACTGTTCTAAAATGCGTCAGGTTTCTCGTCTGGCGGTATTAAACGAGTGTACTGTAACGCCTTGTAATATTCTTCCCAGACACCTCCAGAGACGTAGAAATCGACCAGAGTTCACATGAAAAGAGAATAAATAATTAAGAGGTAGGAAGGTAACGCCAGGTAAAGGTAAGTAGTTGGCGAAAATAATATTAATTAATATTCTCATTGGTTTAGTTTTTCCCGCCATTTAGGAGCGTCACGAGCAGGTGTTGTTAGTCAAAAAAAAAACATACACACAAACGTACAAAAACACATACACACAAGCGTACAAAAACATACACAAACATACAAAACTAAACAGACACAAACAGACACAAACAGACACAGAATGACAGGGAGACTGCGATAACCATATAGTGCTGTGCGGGGATAAATAATAAAATAGTGTAGTACATTCCTGAACACTGAGAGAAGTACTGTGTGTTTGTGTGTTGAAATAGATGTGTTGGTGATATATACAAACAATCAAACAAACACATCATTATACAGTTTGTTCATTATCATCAACATTGCGACTCGGCTAACCTAACTGGACCCCTCACCAAACAGTACATGCAATTTCATATACAACTTTATCTCTCTAATACATAATTTAATACAT